TGCGTGTTATCCTCCGCGAAAAAGAGAACGTGTTATTATGTGTTTTCTCTAGAATTAATGGCGGAAATACAAAAGTCGATATAAATGTTTGGTTTACTCTTAGTGGTTTTTTAAGAAGTTAACTTAAAGGATATATTTGGAATCCGGGTAATTGAAATGTAACTCTTGAAAAAAATCACCTCTCAGAATCCGGTTAAAGGAAACATTACCTTGGAGTATCTCTGTATGTGTGTGTTGCGTCACCTCACCTCACCTGTTCCAGCGAGCAAGTGTTTGGGCGTTGGCGGTAATGTTAGCACTCTGTCTTGCTCGCGGGCTTAATGCTTCCACTTTGTTCTGCCTCAACGCGCCATTGTGCTGGTGGGCCGCTGTGCCGTGTACGCAAATTAGCTCCCCAGACAAGGATCCCGCGACCGTTTACATCGCGCCGGAATTACTCTCGATTTTAGGTTAAAGTGAAATATTTAAAGATCAGGAAACAGTGAAGTAAATTTTATGTAATATTATGGAAGTGCAGGTTTATTAAGAATGAAAACAAACGATAGAAGAGGTTAGTATTAGTGTGTGTGTGTGTGTGTGTGTGTACACTTCCCAGCAGATGCAACATTAGGCATTAATAAGTGGTTCATTAGTTACAGGCATAATGGTAGAGAGAGATAATGAGCCCCTCTCTCTCTCTCTCTCTCTCTCCACACACACACACCAGGAACAAAAAAAGTGAACAATTAACTTTAGAGAGAGAGAGAGAGAGAGAGAGAGAGAGAGGAAGTGATAGATGCGGCCTATAAACTGGACAACACAGGAAGCTAGTGAGAAGGGGGGGGGGACCTGCCTCGCCCTCTCACTGTGTTTACTCTAGCCAGTCTCTCCCCTCTCACTCACCCACTCACCTTGTTTACTCTCCTCTCACTCACTCATATAGTCATTTATTCACTTATTTCCTCCCCCTCACTCTTGCTCACTCGTTCACTCGCTTACCATAGATTGGGTTGGTTAAGTTAGGTTTCTGTAGGCTTTACTAGGGGTAGATTAAGTTTAGTTTGGTTACAGTTAGGTTAGGTTGGACTAGGTTAGGTTAGATTGGACTAGGTTAGGTTAATTATGTGGTTAGGTTAAGTTATTTACCCCCTTTTTATTTCCTTTATAAATGTTTTGGTTTTTGGTTTTTATGTCGTTTTCGTCGTCTCATTGGTTCGGAAATTTAATAACGAACGTTCAGACATTTTGCTACTAGTACGGAAACGAACGCTTATTGGTTGAGCGAACGTGACGTCATTTCTCTCTCTCTCTCTCTCTCTCTCTCTCTCTCTCTCTCTCTCTCTCTTTTGTCAGTACCGATTTCCATGTTCTGGTCACCTCTCCAGCCTTTGCTTCTTCCTTCTTTATTCTCTCCTCTTCATCTGCTTCTTCTTCTTCTTTCCCTTGATCTTCGTCTCCTTCATCATCTTCCTCGTTATCTTTATTTTCGTCTTCGCCATTTTTGTCTTTTCTTCATCCTTTCTCTCTCTTTCTAATCTCTCCCTTATCCTCATTCCTTCTTTTTATTCTCCTTTCCTCCTCGTCTTCCTTGACTATCCCTCCTCCTCCATCGCTTCTCTTCCGTCCTTCTGTCCCATCGTCTCTCTTCTTCCTCCTCCTCCTTTTCCTTTCCTCTTATCCTCCTTACTTACAACATCTTTCCTCCTTTCTCTCTCCCTCCTTTCCTCCTCCTCCTCTTTCGGCTGAACTAAAGGGTTTAAGACAGGAGGGTAGGTGAAAGGCTGGGTGGAGGGATAGGTGGCACTGTGGAGGGATAGGTGAGGGGTAGGTGAGGAATAGGTGGGTAGCGGTGTTGGTGGGTAATGAAGACACAGAGAGAGGTTAGGATCTGGGTGCTGGGTATGCAAATGAGGAAGGTGGGGAGGGAGAGAGGAGGTGAGAGGGGGGAGGGGAGGTGAGAGGGGAGGTAGAGAGGTGAGAGGGGGGAGGGGAAGTAGGGAGGTGAGAGGGGGGAGGGGAGGGGAGGTAGAGGAAGGGAGGAGGAGTGAGAGATTCAAGGTTTGGTTTTGGAAGGGAAGGAGGGTGTATAAATTTGATCTCGACAACATCAACAATAATAATAACAACAACAACAATAAACAAATAAATAAACAAATTCTCAAAATGAACCCCAGACGCAAACACCAGATTTACATAATGCAAACACTCAAAAGTAAACAATCTTTTGGTGGGAAATAATTTTTAGGCTCTGAATCATTAATATATTACACACTATTAATGGAGTGAATACGGCGTTAAAGGCGGGTTATATTCTGTTAATAATTAGGGTAACTGTGAGAAGGGGGCGGGGGTATAGTTTGAGATATGAGTATAAATATGTTTGGTGTTTGTGCTTGATTGTGTGTTTGTGTGTTTGGGAGAGATAGATATAGTTGGATGGGCAGGCAGGCAGGTACACGTAGGTTCAGGTATATAGACACAAGAGAGAGAGAGAGAGAGAGAGAGAGAGAGAGAGAGAGAGAGTCTATATCCTCGAATAAAACGACGACTGTAACAACAAGAGATGATGATAAACAAGGCTTCCCCACACACACACACACACACACACACACACACACACTACAGAATACAATAATCACTAATACACTATAAACTATCTTTTCACGGCTCTTATTTCAACCTTCCCCGGGGCTGCAGTGTGTGTGGGGGTGGGGCATGGGCGGGGGTGGGGCATGGGTGGGGGTGGGGCATGGGTTGGGGTGGGGCATGGGCGGGGGTGTATTCAGTGCAGGCAGGGAAGAAAGGAGGAAAAAAATCGGTGATGATGGCGTAAAAAAGCACTTTGGACACCTCGACTGGAATGTAATCCAATATTGCCTTACGGTTGCGTGACCTTACAGTTGCGTGACCTTACAGTTACTTGACCTTACATCTACGTGACCTTACATCTGCGTGACCTTACATCTCTGCATGACCTTACAGCTGCATGACATTTCGACCCAGGATAAAATTGTTCACCCAAAAATTATTCAGAAAAACATTTAAGCTTTGTATTTAATTCCACCAAAGGCCGCTATACTGAGAATGATTCTGTGTGTGTGTGTGTGTGTGTGTGTGTGTGTGTGTGTCAGAATATTACTACAGGGACGAGGGCGTGAGAAATGCCTGATTGAATAACACGATAAGGATCATTTAAACTTTGGTGTCTAATTTACAATACGTTAATAATAATAATAATAATAATAATAATAATAATACGTGGGAGACTTTTTAGGTAGTTTAGAAATAAGTATATATTAGATTACGAGATTATGAAGTATTAGGTTAGGTTAGGTTGTCTTCAGTATAATTAGAGAATTTGTTTTTATCATAGAAAGACCAGGGACTATTCTTAAGAAACCTTGGCCCAGTGTTGTTTAAGAAAGCTTGACAATGTCCCTCTGTAAATGTACTAAAGCAGTTTGAGTGTAATAGCTGGACACACACACACACACACACACACACACACATACACATACACATAAAGAAATAATCCATCTTTCTTTTAACTCCTTCCCCTGAACACGAAACAGTGAACCTTGGCTTGACATATCCGTAGACTGGCTCTGGGGGTTTTGGCTTATACGCGAGTCGAGGAGAACTCTTGGTTGGTATGTCAGGCTAGGACACAGGCTTAGTAGTGTCACCCCTCTTTGTTTTATACCCACAGTTGGTACATCATTTAAGACTATAGTGAGAGATATTAAAGTACAGCCACTAGTATAAGAGTTGTAGAAAGCAACATTATCTGGGCCAAAGTTATAACCACCAGTGAAGGTTGTTAGAAAGGGACGGTAAAATGGCAAAAGATAATCACAGCCTGGTTGTGTCTTTTCACTGTCCCTCTCACACACTCTTTTAGTCATTTTCTGAACGCTAGCAGGGTCGTAGCGTCGGTTAATGGAGCTATTTCTGTATATGTCGTCTATTGTGTTCTCTTTGCTGGTGACCTTTTGACCTCGGGCGATGGTGACCTTTTGACCTCGGGTGATGGTGACCTTTGGCGAAGAGCTTGGGTAATGTAACAAGCGTGGGAAGATCATTGTGTACATTCTCTTAAAGGTCAGCTTTTTTGTGCTCCTGTGTGGACGTTTACTTACTGACGCGCATATACATCTCTCTCTCTCTCTCTCTCTCTCTCTCTCTCTCTCCATACCCCCTGCCTCACCCTTTCTAACCCCCCCCTCTCCCCTTGCTGTGGGCTCCTCAGGCGACGTGGAGGCAGCAGCTGGACCCCGGGATTGCAATGGTAAATATTTGCCCAGGAAATTACCTTGGACGCCATGGGTGAGCCAGCGAGATCTGGTTCATGAGAGAGAGAGAGAGAGAGAGAGAGAGAGAGAGAGAGAGAGAGAGCTATGTCAACAGCCTCCTCATACGCGCCGTTGTCGAGTTTAATTGCTTCTTGTTGAAACTTGGGGAAAGCTAATGTCAGAAACTTGTATGTCACGGCTAAGTCACAGGGACACGAATAACAAGAACATTACGTCACTGATAAGTCATAGGAATCGCCTAGGTCAGCGCTAAGTCGCAATAACGCTTGTCAGATGAAGATGTCTTCAGGTCATGGGAACAGTTGCCTGAACATCGTGTACATAACAGGTAAATCTCAGGTAAATCACAACTATTCCACATTTAATCACAGGCAAATTAAAGATATATAAAAAATATAGATAAATTACAGCTATATTTTTGTTTTAAATCACAGGTATAATTTATTTAAATCACAATTAAATCACGGGTAAAAGTATTGGTGGTTGGGCCGAGAGTCTTAGGGGGCAGATAGACCGTGGTGGCCAGCCCTCCTGAGTGTCGGCTTTGTCCTGACATGTCACGTGGACTTCCGGATGCTGGTTTTGGGTAAGATAGCGAGGTGATAGCGCACGGTGGTCCTCCTCGACTCACTGGGTGGGAGAGGGAGGAGGAGAGAGGGACGTGCGCATCACCTGGTGGAGGTAGGAGGTTAGGTGAGGTAGGCAAGAGGACGCGTTCCCAGTACCCACCGGTTCTCCGGGTCGAGGCGAGTCGATAACTGCAGCTCTGGCCGCCTGCGGTGTTCTGTGAGGTCCTCCCGCGCTACCTCTTGGCCCCCCTCGCTCATCCACGTGTCAGCACCCAGACTCCTGCTGTGTGGCCGCCTTCTGGCCCACACCGCCCCCTTCCCCCCAGGGCGAGGGTAATTTACTCTCGTAAACGGCGGCCATGACTCTTTATGGTACAGCCGCTAAAACACATAGACATACTCCTTTGTAAGGAGACAGACTCGGCTCGCTTCAAGTTGACGGAAGTGCTTGAGACTTTAAGAGTGGAGAAAAAATCAAGTTAAAAAGAAAGGAGGTTAATGATGTGGCAGTTGCAGCAAGAATGACGGAAGCAGCAGAAGTGTAAGCAGTAAGCAGCGCCATTTTTATCTTCAAAAACAACAGAAACGGGAGGAGCATTATCAGGCATTGACAAAGGTGAGGAGCAGCAGCAGCAGTAGGCAACACCGACCTTAGCAACAGAAACAGCAGTAGAAGGAGGAGGAGGAGAAGAGAGAGAGAGTAACTGTGTGGAGGGAACATTAGATAATCTGTTACGTCTTGTCATGGTGACCGCGACACGTGAAGGCTGTAGCCAGTCATAGAAGAGGTGACCCACAACTAATGTGGCGGCGGCCGACACATGATCAGAAGACTGTCGTAATCCACCTGCACAAAATGTTCTCCTCCCGACGCAAGAGTCTCCCGGACCCCTCTACCATCTCGACCACCACTACCAACCGCACCAGCAAGAGACGTGCCTCCAATGGCTTCCTCAACCCAGGTATGTCACCATAAGTACCTCACCCTGCCTCTCTCTCAACCCAAGTACCTCACCCTGCCTCTATCTCAACCCAAGTACCTCACCCTGCCTCTATCTCAACCCAAGTACCTCACCCTGCCTCTCTCTCAACCCAAGTACCTCACCCTGCTTCTATCTCAACCCAAGTACCTCACCCTGCCTCTACCTTACTCTCTCTATCTCACCCAAGTACTTCACCCTGCCTCTATCTCCTCTATCTCACCCTGCCTCTATCTCAAAGCAACCCAACCCTCTCTATCTAAGCCTCCTCACCCTGCCTCTATCTCAACCCTTCACCCTGCCTCTATCTCAAGTACTTCACCCTGTCTCTATCTCAACCCAAGTACCTCACCCTGCCTCTATCTCAACCCAAGTACCTCACCCTGCCTCTATCTCAACCCAAGTACTTCACCCTGCCTCTATCTCAACCCAAGTACTTCACCCTGCCTCTATCTCAACCCAAATCGTCGTGGGGCATCACAGAGCCACACCTACGTTACCCCCCACTACATTCAATTCAAGTTGGATTTTAGGAACGCAATCTTCCCTTCTTTCATTTAATTTATTCTTGATTATGATATTTGTTATTCTTTTAGGTTTTTAAACACAAGATCTTCAATTACCGTAATGTCCCCTTTTTCGCGTGATATTAGCATTATTTTCAAAGGTGATTGGTGGAACTATTAGTAAATTGGTAATGATCTTATTGGTCCTCACAGGAACAGCTATACACACACACACACACACACACACACACACACACACACACACACACACACACACACACACACACACACACACACACACACACACGAAGATAAGTAAAACCATGAGTGGATGGTTTAAGAAATGGATAGAGTTTGGTTTAGGTTTAGAAACAGGTCTTATGTGCATTACATTCTCGTTGCTGAAGAAAAAACCCTGAAGAAATTGGAATACGTTTATACTCATGAATTAACGTGAAGTTTTTTTGTCCCAGATCGTGAAAGACGGAAGAAATTAATTGAAAAATGTCTAATTGGGATTTGGCAGAGTTGGCTAGAGTTTAAAATGTTTGAGTGTTTTATAAGGATATTTTTGTGTAAAGAGAGAGAGAGATGCATAGAGGAAGAGAAACAGAAGAGAAAGGATAGGGGAGAGATACAGAGAGGACGAAAAAGAATGGAAGGGATACAGATAGTGTAAAGGAAGAGAGAAAGAAATTGGGGTTAATGAGTCGAGGGCGAGATATAATGAGGTCCTTAAGGGCTGAGACTAGACGATATTACAAGAAGCCTTATACTTGACAAGGTGTTGGAACATGATTGGATTGACAAGTTGTCCTTAGTCAGTTTACCTTCACATTTTATATTTTTCTTTGGCCTACATATGTTGTCACTATACCACCAACTGCCACCAATTACCACCTCTGCCATCATCAGCCGCCATATCACCACCTTCTGTACCTGCCATCACTACCACTACCTTCCGTACTTGCCATCACTACCACCACCATCACCTCCTTACCGGCCACTACAACTACCAGCACCTCCCGTATCTGCCACCACCACTACCTGCACCTTCCTTAACCACCATAACAACCACCGCCATCATCACCTTTCAAGCTACTACTACCTCCACCCACAGATCACCAACCACTAACTTCACCACAACTAATACCACTTCCATCAACCACCACCATCAACTGGCGATCTCTACAACCATAACTACCACCACAACCACCACCTTCACAAACCACAATCCATTACCAAGCACCAACACCCCCACCCCCCCACCCACCCAACACCACAATAACCACCCTCACTAACCACAATCCATTACCAATTACCCACTCCCCCACCCTACCAAACACCACATTTACCACAACCACCACACGGAACCAAACTTTCTATGCTGCACACAGCCCTTTAAACACGCCCCGAAACACAATGAAAAAAATATAAAAAAAAGGGTTCGGTTTCCATTCCAGTTGATGTGCCGAAGCTTGAAAACAATGTTGCATATATATCAACGAATTTGTGTTCTATAAGTTTTATGCTAGTGAAATATTTATATATATTTTTGGGTACAGATAACACTTATTTTATATGTAGGAAAATAAGGCTTATTTCCCATTTCCTGAATGTTGTGAACGTGTTTTAAGGTTATTGTGCTTAAGGCTGACAAAGATTTATTATTTTAGGTTGGTAGGCGCCCTGTAGTCTTCCATTTTTGTGTTTACGTAAGGTTAGGAGGTCCAAGTTGGTATGGTGTTGATTTTGATAAACTGTTAGACATTGAATTTTTTTTTTTTTTGGGGGGGTCAGGGTTTAAAGATACGAGGGTTGATTTTTAGGTTTATAGACACTGTAAACGTTTCCTTTATACACACACACACACACACCTATCTCATTCTCTCTTTGAACCCTTCTTTCCCTTTCTCTTTGGACCCCAGATATGACCCTTCATGAACTTAAGAGCATAGTTCAGGGAGAAGGAGGGGTATTTGTTATTATATTCAGTATACATAAGCAAAGGTTTGTACCAACACCCCACATTTCGGCGAATTAAATTTTAAAAGCACTCCTTTAATATTACCTTCAGGGAGTATTACAGTACTTATAAATAGCACAGTCTCTTTAATTTTTCACTGAATATATTTATTTTACTATTAATATAATGCGAGTTGGTTGAATAGTTCAGTGAATTCATGGAGGCTGTTACGTTACTTACCGTTTTTATATTTCAGTTAATCCGTCTACTGAACGTATTATTGCCTGATTTTACTTCTATTTCTGTGGATAAGTTGTAATAGCAACTCACTTTCTGGCTTTAGCGAATTACTTTGTTTAAAAAATGAGGTCTTTTTAATGTGTAATGATTATCCGTATTTAAAAGTCGATCATTTTTTTTTTACAATTAATGATTATTCGTGCTTAAAATATCAATTTTATGCATAGTGAATAAGTCCTTAGACAACATTTTAGTGGGATATAAATTGTCAAATCCGTTGTTGTGATACACTCCGGGCACATAGGTCGTTCTTACATTGTCGGTGTGTTGGGGAAAATAAACGCACCGAATTATTTTAATAATCAATGATCGTTCGTGCTTAAAAGAACGTACTTATATTTTCTGGTGAATTAAGTCCATGAAACACATCTGCCGAGTATAACGTGTAAAGCAGGGACTTGACTAAGTATATTTCTAACATACGGAATATTTTTGTGTATCACGGAATTCCGACTCATAAACACACAAGATATTCAATAATTATTTGTACTCCAAACATTATTAATAATTTATATATAAAGGAAAACACTATCATCAAGTTCTATATGAAGGAACAGTCGTATTAAACATAAAGTTCTGGTACGCGCAAGTGAGGAGTGAAGGGTACTGTATATTATTTTCGCTCCAACACTCGACTCTCTGCGGTGTAAAACTTTTCATTTCCGCCTTCCAACTCCTGTGACAGTAGACGCCGTCGAGCGGATGTAAAACCGTAGGCACTCGACTTTACTCGTCTCCTCCCTTAAAGCATTATATAGTACCATTAATTAGTGATCATTGACTGCGCTATACTCTGCATTAGATGACGAAATATAAATAAATAAATCACTCACAACGGGAAGAACGCAATAACTCATATCAGTAAAGATAGTTAGTTCATTGGGTTAATTAACTTAGCCCCTAAAAATATATATTAATTAGGCAGATATGAGCTTTTTATTATTGACTGAGTTATTTATTACCGATAACAATTAATTATACACTGTAGCGAATATGAATCTGATTACGGGAAGGAATTTAAATTCCCTGAGGTTAATGACAATCCCATGAGTATGATGACTTAAACACTTTGAGTATGATGACTTAAACCCTTTGAGTGTGATGTCTTAACCCTTTGAATACAATGACCTATAAGCCTCGAGTACGATGATGTTATATTTAAGGGGTTAAGTTATCGTATTCAAGAGGTTAAGTCATCGTACTCAGGCAGGGTTAAAAAAGAAGTGTCTAACAAACGGACAGACAGACGGATTAAGCCCTTTGCAACCACCATACCTGTTAAAAGTTATTGCTTCACCGGAGAAGTATCATAGACAGACAATATTCTCTTCCCCCTACGCCTCCCCTACCTTCATCCCCTCCCTATCCCCCTTCCTGGTGATGGTAGGGCGTTGAGAGATCTAGAGATAGAGAGAAAGATAAATAAAGAAAGGAATAGATAAATAAATAACCCGAGACACATGAGACAGTAACAGACAGACAGCCAGAATAGACAATGAGAGATTAAATAAGGAGAATAGACGAACAGAAGCAAAGATGGAGAGAAAGATAGGAAAGAGAGAGTGCAGATGGGCAGAAACAAATATTGATTGAGAAAGAGAGAGAGATAAAACAGTTAAAAAAATTCAACATTTTACTCACTGGATTCTTCTGACAATAATCTTATACCTACGCATGATATTAGAGCCGCTCGTCTCTTTGTCTGAGAGTTCTCCCACCATCGACTATCGGAGAGATAGAGAGAGAACACCAAGAGATATGCTCATTCACTGGGAGCTGCTGGTATCACTCCATGTATTAGTTATGAGAGACAGATAGAGACAGATATGCAGGGGAGAAGAGAAGAGAGACGCAGGTACAGAGTGACACATAAAGATACGCAGAGAGAGAGAGAGAGAGGCGATACATCATCCACCACAGGCCCCATCCTCTTTACACCCCACCACTACCTCCTCACTCTTACCTCCCCCTCTCTCCTTGCCCCCTTGCAATGTGATATTTTTAAACCTCTTGGGTACGAGGGCCAAGTTACCCCTTGGGAGTATCATGGATTCCCCCTCCCCTGAGAACTTTACCCCCTAAGTATGATGGATTTACTCACTGGAGAACTTTGCCCTTTTGGGTATGATGGATTTACCCCTTGAGTATGGTGGATTAACCCCTTAGGATGGATTTACCCCTTGAGTATGATGGATTAACCTCTTAGGATGGATTTACCCCTTGAGCATGGTGGATTAACCCCTTAGGATGGATTTACCCCTTGAGTATGATGGATTAACCCCTTAGGATGGATTTACCCTTTGAGTATGATGGATTTCACTACTAAAACACAATGATCCTTCCTGGAGTACCCTTTGAATACGATGTCATTCAAGTATGGCGCCAATTTACAACTCTCGATTTACAACACTTCTAGTCTACAACACCCTTCCAATTTACAAGTCCCAATTTACAACACTCATGATTTACACCACCTCCAATTTACAATACTACCACAATTAACAGTTCTATATCAACTTAATTTATAGGTCCTTTATCACTCTGTTTATAGCTCCTTATGAGTCTGATTTACACTCTATATAACTTAAGTTTACAGCTATATAAATTAGAATTACAGCTATATAACCTCAATTTACACCTCCACGGAAGTTCAGTTTTACGGCTGTGTAAACAATATACACCTCCCCGGAAGGTAAACAATTTACAGCTTCCAGGAATTGCAATTTACTGCTGTGTGTAAGCTGCATTTTTTCGGCGACTTTATCACTCACGGTTTTAATAAATAGAACAAACGGTTTTGGAAAATGAATTGTGTGAGATGCGTCCTTTATGAGATTATTGCACCTGTCTATTGAAACTATTGCACCTGTCTAAATTATTATACCTGTCCAAATTATTACACCTGCCCAAATTATTACATCTGTCCATATTATTACACCTGCCCAAATTATTACACCTGTCCATATTATTACACCTGCCCAAATTATTACATCTGTCCATATTATTACACCTGTCCAAATTAATGAAAGAAGGTAATGTATTTTCGGCCTGACGGATACAACACACTGCATACTAAACCTTCAGTATTCAAGTAGGCAATATGGCTGGCACTGGGTTTGACTCCTCAATTACCCAACTGTAAAGATAAGTACCCATTCAGACCAGGGTAAACCAGGAATCATAAGGACAGAAGTGAACACAGTTTAATCAGGCTCCGCACCCCTCTCACATTATTGCACCTGTTCAAATAATCACACCTGTCCTATGGTTGACTGGCCCAACTTTGAAATTACCACACGTTTGCAGCAGCTAATTGGCTGATCAGTGAGGGAATCACACCTGTCTCGGAAATCTAATTAACTTCACGTTGAAATTTACATCACCTGTCCGCTTATACCCCGTGTCTAAGCAACAACACCAAGGAGTTCATGTTTTAACAGGTGTCTGATGGCGGGAACAACAGTTGTAGGGGAAATTTGAGTAAGTTTAAAGTTGCCCTGCTGAGAGAGGCCGGTGTATGCTGAGTCTACCCCGGGCGCTGCTCTAGGTCCCCCCCACCACCGACCCATGACACATGTATCAATCAATCCGGGGGGAGTCTACTGCCATGACCTGTGTGGGGGGGACTAACTGTTTGTAGGGCCTGGTTGTGTTACTTTTGAGAGAGAGGATTGCCTTCATGCCCGGAGCTGGGAAATAACATTCTTTTTAAAGCCTGGTTGTGTCATCATTGAGAGAGGGAGAGAGACTTGTATTGGCAACTTCTCCCCAGGTGATGTGACCAAGTGGCACTGTGCCAGAGAGAGAGAGAGAGAGAGAGAGAGAGAGAGAACTTGGGTGAATGAGATAGAAAGAGACATTGTAAGAAGTAAAGATAGAAAGAGAAAGATGAACCACAGATAGAGATAATAACCGAAATAGAAAATGGGAGACACCAAGAGGCAGGCGGTCCTTGCCACCCATCTTGTTTAAGTAATCAGGGTTATTAGTGAAGCTGAAGGTGGAGGAAGCCGCCGTGATTAGTTTGGTCTTGATGTGTGTGTGTTTGTCTATGGTTTATTTATGTATTATGTTCATATGTTTTGTATATATTTGTGTTTATGTATAAATTTTGGCACGTGTGTGTGTGTGTGTGTGTGTGTGTGTGTGTGTGTGTGTGTGTTCTTTACTCATGTTTGTGTATGTTATTTGAAGTATTATTGTGCACGTGTGCCTGCCTGCATACATGTATGTATGTATGTATGTATGTATGTACAGGAGTATGTATGTATGTGCCAGGATGGGTCTAATGGCTCCCAAAATGCTAGCTACATGTAACTCGTGATGTCATGACAGGGTCGGTATGTGTGGCTCTGTGACATACTGTTCCTACTATATTTGGTAACCGAACATCATATTTAATTATGCCGAAATAACTAACCATTGCATTATTTATTTTGAACTACAGTACTATACCAAAGTAAATGCATGTCCCACTATCTATCATTTATGGTCTCATTGTTTCACACCAAGTGTTGACAGATACAGTACTTTTTTTTTAAATACTGTACCTTCACCCAAAAAGCATCGTTAGTAGTGGGGTCGATGTGATTCAAGGCTTTCTGAGCAATGTTACTCGACCTGTTTTTGAACCGGTGGTAGTTCTACATCCTCGACCATTGAGCATGAATGAGTATAGTTCGAAAACGTATACATACTGTATACGTTTTCGAACTATACATACATTTATATATAGTAGCTTAATGGATTTCTTGTTATAGTGTATTGAAGTATCTAGTATGGCAAACAAGGACGACTCTCCCCCAATCCTACTGTACATACAGTATGTATGTACAGTACCATATTTTCTGTGTACAGTATATATATTCTGTCTACAGTATACATCCACTTATGTATATGTGTACAATGTTTATGTATCTACTGTATATGTTTACACTACCATCAATCTGTGTACTGTATCTGTATATATACGAAAACATGTGGGCTACTGTACATTAGAATACAAAAATGAATACCGGTACCTGTATTATCTGTTTGCAATGCTGTACTGCAATCTTCAGGAATCTATGCAATAGAGAAAAATATTGTACGTACTCACAATTTTGAAACTCCACAACAAAATTCCAATGAATTGGATACCAAGTCATTGAAATCATATTTTACATATTGTATATAAAATTTAGATTGATAAGTAAATAAATGCTGTAATGACCATGTCAATTTTCACTATACCAGAGGAAGAGTTTAATAGTATTTTTGGGCATTATTACCATTGTAATTATTTATGCTAAATTATGGTGGTCATATTTATAATGAGGTATATTTCAATTAATTACTTTTAGAAGAAACGGACTAATCTGTAGAATATCAGCTTGGTAACATGAACTATTGAATACAGTAGTTGTTTGATGAAGAGCAACATTTAGCGTATTGATTTTTTTTAAAGTAAATGCTCTAGAATAATATTGCTTATCTCCAAAAATTTTGCTACATGATAGAACTGTATTCTTAATTAAAAAAAAATAAAATAAAATAAAAATCCTGACCGACATTTTTGGTCAGCATTTAACCGCAACCTGCAGGTATATATTTTTGTTTGGGTGAACTGCTTTCAGTGAGCCATTCTATTTTTGGTTTATAATTGTACAGGCTGATGCTGCTCCCGGGGCTGAGTTTGTCCTCCTTTATATTCACCAATTAAATTTTATACATTCATGGCTGTTGGTATTGTGCATTGTGAGGCACTGATGAAAAACTTACTTTACATTTACTATGATTGGAACTGGAGAGGTTGATACATAAATAGCAATAGAAGAAGATAAAGACACTTCAGAAAACTAAAGTTGAAGATACAAGGAAACCGAGAAAACAGAGCAGAAGATAACTTTAAATAACTTTGCACCCAACTCTCCTCCATGGAAGTATTACTATCTTACAGTTAGCTGCACAAGCCAGGCAGTGTCTCCTATCAGGGCCTCACTTGTTTTACTCAGTTCACAACAAAAAAATTATCAGTGACGTCCAGTCACTGCAAGAGCGGCAGCTGATAGTGGTGGTGTGGGAGTGTGTCATCACATATTACATAATTACTGTATATTGGTGGGATACCTCAGAATTAATTTTCTTGTACAAACACACACACACACACACACACACACACACACTCACAGTATGTATAGAGTATACTGTACTGGTATACAGTATATGTTTGCTTTTCATGCTATATACATACAGTAATGTTCAATGCTTGTGTATTGCATTATATTCTGGTATAAGTACCCTCAAGATAAGACACTTCAGCTAAATATTTATTTTAATAGAGTAAAGCAAGTTTCATCATTTAATCTTTGAACTCTGTAATTGTTTTATTGCATTTTCAAAGCAACGGCCTCAAATACACAGTACACAACAGTGTACCGTATTTTAAGAAATATTTTAATTTTATTTCATTTGGTGGACTTCCACCTTCACTGCTATACATTTGTTAAAAAAAAATATTTAGGATTAAATTTCATGTCCTTTTTTGGAGCATTAACTGTTCCAAAAGGCCTCTTTACAGACCTTTAGCCATCCCATTAAAAATTGTCAAGAACATTCATGTCAACACCTGTGTCTTCAGGCAATGGCAAGAAAAGTGTTACTGTACTTCTTTCGCATATTTCATGAATACTGTACTTTATTATTGAAGGGTCAGTAATAGTGCACAGTGTACTTTGGAATAGAGAATAAAAAAGATACTTATTTTTTTTGGTGTTGGTAGTCCTTTATAATGAAGACAGTGAAATTTTGTGGAGTAAGATATACATTAATAGCAGATTTTCTTGGACAGATTAAAAAAAATTAAAGTGATATTGTTCTTTAGTGAGACAATTTATTTAGAAAAGATTAAGATGAGAACCTGTAAGAATGTTGAATGAGACTGACAAATGTTGTTGTTTCAGAGGTGATGGCGGTGCCTGGTGAAGGGGGACCGGCAGGGATGGGTGGTGGTGGTGTTAGTGGTGGTTTGGGTGATGGTCGGCTGCTTGTGGCCGACCTCAGGCACCACAACTTTGATGCCATCCGCTTCGCCTCCTATCGCACTGCTGCCAAACTCCGATTTGTACAGAAGAAGACAAATAGTAAGTGCTTCACTCAATAATTCTGGTGATCCATATATCTATGAATTTACCCATAGAGTATATGCAATACAGTACAGTACAATATACACAATGTATTAAATGTACACGTAATTTACTAAATATTTTTCTTTCACAGTGCACCGTGTTGACATATGGAACATTATTGAAGCTTTCCGGGAAAATGGACTCAACACTCTGGAGCCATACACCGAGGTCAAGGTTTGTACAGTACTGTACTGTATAGTGAAAGGGATTATCAAAAGTTCCCAGAAAATGTTTGTACAGTACAGGGAGGTACAGGGTATCAATAAGTACTACTGTATGTGCATCTTTTTATTAGGTTCATGTAACCTGAAGGTCAATGATGCTTCGGAACGGGCATAAGAATTCAAGAAAAATATAGTAACACATTGCCAAGTAAATTCTGTGGAGATAGGAAAAAAGATGCTAAGTGTCTGTGTTAATTTCAAATTTGAGCTGCTATAATATAGTGTATCTTAAATTATAACTTCTCCAGAGTATTTGATATTTTCTTTAGGTTTTGTTTCACCTGTTGTGAGATGGTCTTTGGTTATCTACGAATGATTGTCTTGTGGATTATTACCAACCCACAAAATATGATAGTCTTCCAGTACAATATTGTGGAGTGTTAGAGCTTTTATATAATGTACTGTAATATTGTGACCTTCCATATTGTTCAGCAAAACTATATCTCTGAGCAGGTATTTTAGAGACAGTAGATATATCCATTTTTACTTTATTTCTTCTCTAATGACAGGTTTCTCGGCTGGAGACGCTAATATCAACTCTGTATCATAGCTTAAACAAAAGACTTCCAGTGGGACAACATGTGGTTATTGAGTCATCTACCTCTATTCTTCTAAACTGGTTGTTGTCTGCATATGACAAGTAAGTATGAATCATCACAGGTTTATATACAGTGAACCCTCACTTTACGCGGTTAATTCAAACCCACGGCGGCCCGCGTAAAGTGAACAACATAACATATGGGATTAATTGAAATAGAGACCGGGCCGACCCCCAAACTCCACTTTTTCAGACACAATACCTACGTTGTAGTAAAAATAACTTCTTAATTTTATGATGGTATGCACACACAATTAATAATTAAGAGAAATATCAATAATATTAGGTTTTTTAACACTTACATTAGTAGAAAAGATGGCTGGGCACACGGGGATGGGGGGTTGGTTCCGAGGCAGAGGGCAGATTATTGGCCCTCACCTGTATCACTTGTATCAATTGTATCACTATCCACCACAGAGGCTTGCAGGGCCTCTTTGTCAAACCCCTCAAAGTCCATATAAGTCCATATCCTCACTATCATTATCACTATCACTGACTTGGGCCGGCTGTGGCGGGTGAAGAACTCGGTAATGTTTTGATGACTGGGCGACCTTGTGCGCACCCTGCTCGCGCCGCTCTCCGCATAAAAGGGTACACACACCGCGGAAAGTGAGCATTCCAGTTTCGGCAGGGTACCGCGTAAACGTGGAAACGCGTAAAGTGGGACCGCGTAAAGCGAGGGTTGACTGTATATATATACTGTACAGAAGTTACTTTGGTATAGGAACCAACTAAGTTAAAGATAGAGAACAACTAAGGCCAATATTCCAAATTAAGAGCATCTGTTTTTTATTGTTAGCAATCCAGTTTACAAATACAGTAATACCTCGGTTTATGCGTTTCCACATTTATGCGGTCCCCGCCAGAACCGGAATGCCCAAATTTACGCGGTGCATCTACTCATATACGCGGGTGAAGTATAATTTTTTTATTTAGCTCATAAAATTCGTACAAATTACCAGGCCAGAATATAATTTACATTGCTGGAATTCTTACAATATGATGATCATTTTAAATATAAACATCATGGATTTTGCATTAGACATACAAATTTTAGATCTAATGTAAGAATTTTGTTTACACAGAGCAAATATGTTATCTTTTGTGCAAAATATATGACGTGTATATTCAAAATATTCCTGGTCTTGCAAGGAATCCAGCATGTCAATTATATTATCCTAACTTTAGTCTGAATGGACATTAACCTGGCAACTGTATTTCTCTTAAATATTACTTGTGTGTGCATACCATCATAAAATTAAGATGTTATTTTTACTAAAACATAGGTATTGTGTTGGTATTGTCGGAAAAAGTGGAGTTTGGGAGTCGGCCCAGTCTCTATTTCAATTAATCCCATATGTTCTGTTATTCCATTTACGCGTTTCTCGTTTTACGCGGACCTCCGCGGGTTCAATTGACCGCCTAAATCGGGGTATTGCTGTAGTAGTTTAAATGATTTAGTTACTTGTAAACCTTCACTTACTGCTATTCTGTACAGTAACTATGTAAATATTGGACTCGCATATACCAGTACAACAGTTGAAAAATAATGTGTTTATGTGTACAATCAAAGACAAAAGTCGTGTTGCGGTTTTGTCCGAAGATTAAATATAACTCGTGAAACATCATGAGAGCCCCCCTACCACAAGGCAGAGCGCACCAGAAGTTTAGCCCTTCGGCATATGTTCTCACCAAATTTCACGACACGACTTTTGTGTTTCATTGTACACAAAAAATCAGAGAGAACACATAATTCATATAATTTGCAGATAACCATTAAGAGCAAAAATGAAAAGATCCAAGGATGTGAATAATCATGAGCGTCCTTTGATCTTGTTGTGCTTCTGTTCCCTATTGGTTACAGTACTGTACTTGCATGGTGTGCATGCATGTGTGTGTGTACACAAATAGAGTATATAACATAATGAACATAAACTAACACATTGAGTTGCTTTAACAATAATGCTGTAAAACTTTTATTAGTGTACTCAACTGTTTCAGGGACGATGAAGGAAAACTGCGTGTGTTCAGTGTGAAGGTTGCGTTGGCTACACTATGTAGTAGCAAACCTCTCGACAAGCTCAGGTGTAAGTACAGTACAGTACTTGGTTTTTTAACTTTCAAATACTGAACAAGAATGGAATAGACCTTTGTGTTTTTTAAAGTTGCTAATTTTTAATAATCCTATATACTGTATATGTATAAAGTGTAGTGGTTTATGTATTATGATAAGCAGAGGAAGATATTGCCATGGTAGAAGATATACTTTTACAGGTACCTGTGAATATTTTTACAGTACAGTACGTGGTATATAGTATCTGTATGTTCTATATGTGAAATAATTTTTGCCTTATGGGGGGGATACTGTTTATTATTTGTCCTTTGTTTATATATCTGAGTATGTAGTAAGTAACAATATTTTTCAACAGATATATTCTCACAAATATCTGACGGTAATGGGCATCTTTCACTAACTCGCTTCTCTGAGTACCTGAAGGAAGTCCTTGCACTCCCGGCTGCTGTTTTTGAATCTCCAAGTTTCTCTTACTCAGAAAACTTAGTTACCCACATTTTTGATGGGGTAAGTCAAAGACAAAACATTCATCGTTATATTGTACAGTGTAAACCCTCTCATGTTAAAAATATCCCATGACTTTTCAAGGAATCAAATTACAGTATACTGTATATTACTTTCACTATTTTAGGGAGTAAGTATTTTAGCACATATTACAATACAATACAATACAATACAATGAGAGAGAGAGAGAGAGAGAGAGAGAGAGAGAGAGAGAGAGATGTAGTTATAGAATAGTTTGTGTATGAGTTACAGTATAATATTATATGAGAAAAATTCTTTTTGGAAATATAATAATGATTTATTTGAACTTAATTTGCAGATAAAACAGATTAACGTCAATGACTTCTTAGAGGTTGTTTTGGAGGACCCCGGCCCAGAGTGTCTAGCGTGGTTACCCCTTCTACATCGTCTAGCTGCCTCTGAGTCCGGTATGGCTTAAGAAATATCTAAGAATTTACCTGTAAATGTATGCATATAAATGGCTGAGCTTTGCTTCTTTTCAAACAACAACAACAACAACAATATTCCTGTGAAATGAGAATCCAGAGCATTTTATTTATTTTTTGTAGAATTTACTTGTCTCTTGCTTTCTCAATTTATTTTCAGGTTGGCTTCAAACATGCTTCATACTCTAGCTATTAATATTGGATTATTATTTCAAGCTGAAGTTAACTTGTTAGTGGGAAGACGGAGAGTGCAAATGTACTAATAGTGTTTGTCAGTAGGTCCCTGAATGTTTACTGAGACTTCTTGTGGTATTCAAGTCACTACAGCAGAGAAATTGTACTTAATAAATCAATGACATGGATTAAATTTGCTTATCTCGATATATTTTGAATTATAGATGCTCTGTGGGCTGTTGAACTGATTGACGATGACTATGTTGATGAGTGTAAGTGCATTAAAACTTTCACTGTTCTTGGAGAGTACTGTAGTCACTACGATTGTCAACATATCATTTGGAGGGAGCAGTTGTAGTAAGATATTCCTTGATACCATGACAGTAAATACAGTACAGTATGTTAGTTATCATGGTCTTGGATTTATGATGACTTGCGATGTAATGTATCTAAGTTGTAAAAAGTCTCATGTCCGTTGTCTTCAAAAATGTATTCTGCTAGGGTACACTGATTGATTACCACCTGCTTTCATAATGCCCTAAAATAAGCTAATCTTCTCAAATTCTGATAATAAAAGGAAAACTGAATGTTTTAAAAGTTCAGAGAAGCTGGAAAATTACCTGACACTATGGTACAGTATATGGAAATGTTTGAGGCAGGGAATAAGAAGTGAAAAAAACCCTCTGTGGTCAAGAATGGATTAGAGATTGAGATATGCAGAAGGGAGGCACTGAGCATGCATGAAAGGAAAGTGGAAATTTTGTAAAAGAATCTCTAATGAGAAATTCTGCAACCTATTAGGTATTGCTACAAATATGAGTTAGTAAACTTAGATGTGTACAGGAGCAGTATAAATAGCAACAAATAGTTGTAAAAAGAGTAAAGATGACTGAGAAGCAAATAATCAAAAGTGTGTGACTCTTAAAAGATGCTCACGTGTTGTGATCTAAATGTTTGGATAGGCAATATGAAAATTGGATATTGATTAAACATTATACTGTATACAAGTTTGATGATCTTCCAATTTGTTATATTAAGTGAAATGTGTTTTTAATACATTAAAATCTGTACTTAAATTATCTGGGGAGATTATTTTCACTTAACAGGAAACATTCTTTTATGAACATTGTGCTTTTATTAGCTTGGAGGCTGTACTGTACAACCAATAGTAATACAGTACAATACAGTAGTGTACTTACAACACTGAAGCACACAAGTAAACTGATTACATTGACATTGACCCTTGATGCAGTAGGGTCCAGAGTTATGCAAAATGTCACCATTGCAATGGTTTGGGTGAAATATAGTAAAAAAGTGGAAAAATGGCAAAATTACGATGTTTCAAAATCATATCATTATAACTAATGACTTTATTTACATGAAAAAAGTGATAAATTGATAAGATTTCAAAGATTGTCATGCCGTGACTGCAGTGCTCTCCAACACAAAATACTTTGTGATTACCTTGAGAAATGTACAGCTTGAACAGTCTTTCCCATATATACTAAAACAGTGACCCAACTAGCAGTTTGGAATGTAAGATAGTTTTGTAGTGAAACATATTCTCCCTCCCTGTTGCCCTCCAAATTAGTCAAGTGTGAGCCAGTAGCTAATATATCTAGTGAGGACAATTTTGTTTTGAAAGTAAATTTTTTATATTAGACACACTGTAGTATGATACAGTCTAGTTGAATTTTATCACCTAGTTTTATCTATAAGAAAGCTTTTATTTTATTTTTTTAGTCTGCATTAAAGATATTTGCAATTAGATACTTGGTACTCATAATACTAATACTGTTACCTTCTCTCATCGAGTTACCATGTTTGTGTTTACTTATTTGCCTCAGTGTACAGTATATTGTTTGCCATGCTTCAGTGCCTTAATGTCTTCTTTTTCAGGCTCACTTTTGTTTTTCATTCTATGGATATGTATATGTACTCTATGTTACCAGTGTGAATTCATGTATCAGGATTGTTCCAACACTTCAATTAAATATCGGATGCTATCTTTATTGACGTTACTTATCTTTGACAAATATTCAATCAATAAAATTTTAAGTCCCACATGTGTATCATCAAAGGAGCTTTATTATATTGTACTCTCTTCTCTGTAGCGGGAAAGTGTAAGTAGAATTTCTTTATACAGTATTCCTAATTTATTGACCATTTTCATACCCTCAAGTACCAAAGACTGACCAACAAAGATCATGTCACTAACTTAAGACTTTGATTTTTTATTTGAAATTTGATTTTGAATTATGGAGGCAATTATTAGTTGTCTTACTTGTACCAACACATAAAATATGTATGGTAAAAAGAATAATGGTGGCCTAAATATGCAATGTTTTATCATTAATTTTAAAGTACAAAGCATTACAGCAAGGATGTTATCCTTCTTTCTCCCATTTAAACATCAAATACTTAAAAATTATAGGTATTTCTGGTGTCCACTTTACCATTGATTTCTGATTTTTTTTTCTTTTAAACTCCAGAATATGAACTGCTGTATTTTATTGTATGTATAAGAGTCCTTGAGTTATAAATGTGTTATGTTCCTGGAGCCCTTTCGTAAGATGTTCTGTTCCTAAGTCGGAACAGTGATAATTCCATAGGTTAGGTTAGGTTAGGTTAAAACACAACCCTGTACATACAAAACAATGTTAATATCTCATACATAACAAATAATGTAAAAACTGTACTGTAAACAAAGTTTTGTTAAACAATATACTATAAAGTAATATAAAAAAAAAATTTAATTACAGATTTTTGTGATGAATACAGTATATTGGGATCCCATTCATAAGTATGGTTCTTTTGTTAGTTTGGCATTTGTAACTCAGCGACTGCCTGGCCCAGTACAATACTGTAAAGATCACTTTTTTGCAGTCGGCGGTAAACTTAACGAATATGAAATTTGATCCGAGGTTGTTGGCAAATTTCCCGATACATGGACTCATGTTTTGGATCCACTTGTTACAGTGATGAAAATGATTTAAATTTATTCTTAAAGCTTGAACATACTATATGTAAAATTCCTCTTGTGTTAAATGGTTATTGTATTTGTAAAATATTTTGCACTACCAATTTTGCTCTGTATTAAAAAATAGCATATTTTGTTTTCGTATAAGAAATTGATGTTTCCCCTTAAAATTTCCACTAACTTCCTCTTCGTTGAATGAATTTTATTGATAAAGTTATCAAACTATATGTGAGATGGTGACCTTTAGTGACATGGAAAAAGATTAGGGAAAATTATAAATGTTTATCAAGATGCTTTTGGTGTTTGTTAATAAATTTCCAAATAATAATTGCCTCTTTCTAGTGGAAGATGACGTGGCCTCCAGATACCTAGGTGTAAAAATATTACCTCTGGAGCTAAAATACCTGACAATTGGGTTTATGATCTATATATGTTGAGGAAATGATATATACAGTATACTGTACATGTACTGATTAATGTCAATACAGTACAGTAGGAATCTATATACTTCCTTCCATGGCTAGGAAAAATTTACTCCTGAGGTTTTCTTTATTCTCTTAAGGCTATTTATGCTTAATGCTTGTTGGCCAGAAACACGTGTTATTTCTCTCATTTTTCACCCTAAATTCATTATTCCTGCTGAAATGACGTGTTTTAGTCTGGCTCTTCCCTGCCACGGTGAAGCTCCAAACATGGTTCCACATGTTAAAAGAGTAAAAAGAAAAAATTCATAGACGTACTCGACACACGTATATAGTATTGGATTTTTTATTTTTACTCTTGAAACTATTTTGCTGCTTCATGCTGTGTGATCAGAAGCTAGGTCAAATACACAGACATGTTCTCTTATTTGCTGTCATTTGGTATTTATGTTCCCTTCATGCCAAGGAATATGTAAAAGATCAGAGTATATATCAGAAAATATTTAATTAAACTCAAAAGTCTGTGCACAATCTACCGTAGGCAAATTATTATACATTTTTAAATGTTAACAAGAACTTTTTTAACAGAGGTTTATTATTTCTAGTTATACATCAGACCATGTGTGATGGCTGTCGGCGAGAGAACTTCAGTGGGTTGCGGTACAAATGTGAAAAGTGCCACAATTACAGTATGTGCCAAGAGTGCTTCTGGTTGGGACGCTTCTCTCCCCCTCACTCCATACATCACCAAGTGAAAGAATACACTTCATTTGTATGTTGAGGATCTCTTGTGTTTGTACTCTTATTCATGCAAGCTTTAGCTTCAACGGACAGTATAACATTTTATTTTATTGTTTGTGTAAAATTATTTTCTTTCATACCTCAAGTTAGCTGATTATCTTCTTTTATTTTTTAAACTTTATGGAAATGTAATCATCTTTTTTTATTTTATAATTATATCGATAATCTTCTGATTAAATACTCTAAGAAATGTTAAACTTACCGGTAGTGATAATAATAATAAGTTCATCTTTTCATGATTTTGATGCAATTTCAATTGGTTAAAGATGTGTGCTTTGATAATAAATATTTGTATAATAGTTAGGAAAGTACAGACTTCTCAAAGAGGTTTTGGCAGAAAATTTATTTTAATTTTCCTTAGTAGGAGATGCACACATAAGAGGGTGTACCAGACAATATGACCTTTACTCAAGCTAGGGTTATCTAGTACACCAAGGTATTTACATAGCTACCCAAGGCATCTGTTGTGTGGGCCTGACATCAAAACATCACAAGACAGTAGAGAGATAGTATGGGTATGACTGAGCCCCCCTCCTATGATCTAGATATTTTGGGTATTTGTGAACAGTTGGGTAAATAACATATCATACATGATATTAGATATACAGTTATGCTCACACATAAAATGGTGTTAACATTTTCCATTGTTTGGATTTTTTAATCAATGTGCATGACTGCTAACCTTTATATTGTGATAGTATTGCTGATTAAATTGCTTTAAATATGAGAATGACACATTGAAAGAGTTGGCAATATTATTATACAAGTACTGTATATTGTTATAAAGGTACAGGATATTGAATAAGAAATATTAGGTTTTGTAATAGTTTGGGACATAGAGATACGAACATAAGACTTAATATAGTGCCACCATGTATCAGGTGTTGCAAAAACTTTTTACTTTGGTGAAATAATTTAGTTAATAAGTTGACATTAGAGAATCAGGTATGTACCAATATATTCTACAGAAAATAGATGGTAGAGGCTTTTGGCAAGTTACCCTACTGAAACCCATGATTTTTATTGATAAATAAAAAGAAACTAATAATTCTAATGTTTATTCATTAGTTGTACAGTAGTGGTAACTAATGATTTGATTGTTACCAGGTTGATGAAAATATAAAAGTAATGATCACTATAGCCATCCCATTATATATGGATATAATGTACTGAGCATTGTAGTCATCCTCTGGTACAGTGCAAAGAGACGTGCAAAAGGTTGATAGGTTTATACAGTAAATCTTTCTCCTGAATTTGTACAGTATTTGGGATTTCTTGCACAGAAAATACTGAAAGTGTTAAATCATATACAGAAATTTGCTTCAACAGTTGTCTTTGGTTTACTGTACTGAATCTAGTAAAAGCTAATGTTCTCTATATTTCAGACACCGACTCGTCATTCTTTCCGCCGAAGCTTACGCTGTGTGCCAGACAGGCCTTCAGTTGACAGACCAAGGTTTCCTGAACTTCCAGAAAAAACTTTAAATCTCTCCCACATAGTGTAAGTATAAATTGGAAAGTAAGGTAAAATATTATTCTTGGCCATAGTATTGACAAATTATTATTTTCATATTGAACTCTTGGCATATGTCATTCCATTTACCAGTAAACACCCCTGTAACAGAGCTCTTCATGCACACCCTTCATTACAGTTCACTCAAGTTTGAAAAAAATGAAAAAAGGTGGATTAATTTACCATGAATTACTGGTAGTACAAGTATCTAATATACTATAGGACTAGGCATGTGTCTGTGTGTGTGTGTGTGTGTGTGTCTCTGTTCTGGGCAGCCGAAACGGCACAATCGTTTTTCATCAAACTTGGTGGAAAAATCGCAAAAAATTCGTAGAGTGGAACAAACCTGGTCCCATATTGATGGTTTCTTTAGGAAGCCATTACATAACCATTTTATTTACACTGGAAAATGATGCAAGTCTACGGACTCGGCGCACCCTCATTCGCTGTACGCTGTCAGCCCACGATTGCAGTTATCGTACGGCTCCCTCCTCCTCCCCCCACTTTTTTTCTTAGCCTACTTTTTTTTTAATGTTGTTTGGATTAGTAAAGGAAGGAAGATGAATAAATAGAAGAATAAAGAAGGGGAAACAGAAAATAGAGATAACAGGTGGGGGGGGGGGAGAGCCAAGTTTTATCATGCATCTGGATGCGCAGTTTCAACGTTACCAGACGACCTTACAGCTCCAGTGTACGTATACTTATTCCTGTGGGTGACTGTACATGGAAAAAGAGAAGAGATCAAAAGATAATAACAGGAATGCATGGAGAAGATGACTACAATAGACACAGGGTGAATATAGACTGTGAAACAGACAGGAGGTTGACAAAAATAGACAGATTCATACATGCACAAATAGACAATATGGCAATTAACATGACAGACAGACAGCTGACTGACTGGTTCACATTAGACAAATAGGCAGACACACGCCAACAACGGATAAGACAGACAGATTTGACAACACAGAGTACAGACGGGCTTACATTCAAACACCACGCAGACGAACAGACAGTTGGGATGGCAATAGACAGGACGGATAGACTTGAGGCAGTTTAGAAGGCATTTATAAACAAGAATAACACCAAATTGACCATAGCTGCGTCAGTGAGGGTAGGAGGACTTACATCCATCAGCGTAAATAATAAGACGCATTGAAAACTAACACCCTCGCCCGGGAAGAACATCGATGGTCGGTCAGTCATGTGAGATGGGCCTAAAACTGACTAACGTACATGATGACTATGATGACTTAACACAGGTGATGACTTAAGCAGATGGTGACTAATCTAACCAGAATCAAGGTCACTTCTCTTCATAATATAATTTATCTCGGAATGATCATCGGTGATTCATAATATTTTTTTTTTTATATGATTTTAACCTCTCCTTATGGCGAATATTTCTTTTAACTAATTATTCTAACCTTTATTCTATTCCTTCTTATAGTATATTAGATACTGTAAGTATCACGACCATGATTATAACAACCACGACCGTGATTATAACAACCACGACCGTGATTATAACAACCAGGACCATGATTATAACAACCATGACCATGATTATAACAACCAGGACCATGATTATAACAACCACGACCATGATTATAACAACCACGACCATGATTATAACAACCACGAACATGATTATAACAACCTCGAATATATGATTATAACAACCTCGAATATGATTATAACAACCACGACTAATCATAACCACGACCTTGATTATAACAACCACGACCTTGATTATAACAACCACGACCTTGATTATAACAACCACGACAATGAATATAACAACCACGACCATGATTATAACATCCTCAAATATGATTATAACAACCACGACTATGATCATAACCACGAATATGATTATAACCACGACCATGATTATAACACTCACGACCATGATTATAATAACCACGACCGTGATTATAACAACCACGACTATGATTATAACAACCACTACTATGATCATAACCACGACTATGATTATAACAACCACGACCGTGATTATAACAACCACGACCATGATTATAACAGCCACGACCATCTGGAAAACGACGTCGCTGTACGCTGTCAGCCGGACGGCGGTTGCGCACTTGCCAAGCACGAGCGTTCGAACTTTCACGCCTCGGTAAACTGTACCACTGGACTCGCCACCGGGCACGAAGGGCCCACGATCACTTGTAACAACTACAGTATAGACTTTCCTGATTTACAAAAGGGTTTCATTACTGACAACCTTTCCTAAATAATTTTTTTTTAATTTGTCTCACATTTTACCATTTCAAAAGCCAAGACACATTCCTACTAAAAAAATATCCCAAAGCATCTTAAAATGCTACAAAACCAAGTTTTAATGTGAAGAAGAAATGTTAAATATATCCACTTTGTGAGTATCTTGCCACTGCTTCATGTAGTGATCCTGTGAGCCATGATAACTAAAACATAACACATTTTATTTTTAGCTTAGTTAACCACTCTTAATACAGTACGGTACTGTATATTGTTTTTAATTTAATTAACTTTACAAATCTTATGACCAGGTTAGGTATAGGAAGCCCTGAGATGCTTGTGTCAGCACCTCACCATCTACTGATACTGTAAAAAGCTATGACAAAGAAAAACGTAACTGGATTTTTCGTATACCCGGTATAAAACAAAACATGGACAATATTTTTTTTTTGCAACTTTGGATTTTTGTAAACTGGATCCTTGTGAATCAGAGATGGCCTGTATTAGAAAATTTAGGCCATGACTAACATCAGTTTATGTGTTGAGGGTCCATCATGTCTTTTTTGCATTATGTCATTCTGTTAAGTAAAACTGACATTACAGTGCTGTACTATACTGTACAGATAAGATATTTAAGTTATGTTTCAGACCACCTTCACCTCTGCCCACACACAATGGTTTTGAAGGAGGAGGAGCTACGGCCCCCCTTCCTGCCTCCCTGGAGAGTCGCTCATCCAGTAGAAGGTGAGTTCTGCTCTTAAAATTTGAAAATATGTTGAGTTTGCTTTTATTAACATTTCCTTTCTTCTACTAATCTCATTGTGGTGTATTTTAAGAATAAAAGTTTCAATTATATTCTTCATTTAAGATTGTGCATTACTAAAACATCTTTCATAAGATCTTACTGGTGTTACTAACCTCTTTAATTCTCTGCAAGTTGTATTAGCAGTTTACCAGACTGGAGTCAGTTGGATGAAGAGCATCGGCTCATTGCCCACTATGCTGCCCGTCTTGCTAACCAAACGTCACATTCAGTAAGTCCTCCCCAACATAATCATCCCTCTTAACACACACACATGGACCTACATCCTCCCTTCTTATATCTTTGCCATGCACAAAATTTTTAAGTCTGTCTTATATCAACCTTACTCCATTCACAATTGAAAATAATAATTTGGTGGACCTAATTTCCAGATGATATTTTTTCCATTTTGCAAAAATTAATTTATTGTTGTGTGTGTGTGTGTGTGATGCATCACAGTAAGATTTTCTCCTCAGCCAGTCACTCCTATCACAGTGTGCTCATGACTGTGGTATTATTCTGCTTCTTTAGATAGTACTTTTGTGCCTAATACTGTACAGTACAGTCATCTAGCTTTTGTTGGATGGTGCTCTTAATTCTTCCTCCTTACCATTTTTTTTATTATATAATATTTGCTGCTGTGCTCTAAATATGGACATTTCTGGACTGTAGATATGATGTAAATCTTGATATGAAAAGAATCTTGTGTGATATAGCCATACATAGAACAGTGATAATGATAAACACTTGGAAATTATGGCATTATACAGAAACTACTGTAATGCTAAGTGTGCAAATTTAATTTCTTGCTAATTTATAATACAGTGAAATTTTTCCTGTATTATAAATAAACCTGCAGTTATTTTTCTGACATTATACAATGAATCACTTTAAAATGAGATGTATGATCCCAACCACTTAAGGACAGCAGGAGTGGTACTGTATATCATATTCAGTCTGTGGGATCAGTGCCATTCTTGCAGCTTTCTATTGGTCATAGCCACAGAGATATAGCAAAAAATGGAGGAATGAAGCATGAAATCCCAGTTTATAATCGAGGGTATGAAATGTGTGACCTTTGAGATTCCCCTGCAACACCCTATGCCTCATCCAGGGGGCTTGACTTGTTTACTCACAGGCTGCACCGATAAGTAGAACTGCATCACAGTTCCTTTACCCATCAAACCAGGGTTGAATCAATAAATTGAGACCCTTATTACTATGGTTAACTTTGATGGTTAATTTTCATCTACAGTAAGTATTCCAGACAGCTAGATTAAACTGCTTTGTATTTCACTTGTCTCTGCACCTCAGCTATAAAATGGTATTATAGCTTCTGGTCATCAACGAGTGAGACGTAGGATTCCAAACTAACAAGAAATAGAGATCGTGTCATATGAACCAATCAATAACACTTCCCAATCTCCCACACACTCTTTATGCAGGTACATTATAGTAAATACCTTCAGAGGAACAGGTTCATCATTTCAGGAACACTTTTATGTCTAATTTAGTTGTAAAAAAATTAACAAAAATAATGTTATTTTTTTACCTGTTTTTGGTAAATACTTCTGTACCTGTACTTTGAAAATTGATGTTTCATTCTTGTCTAGGAACTTGAGGTCTTAACTGAACCCAGTCTTAAAGATTTCCCAGTGGTCCATAAGGCAAAATAATTTGCCAGTAGACAAAGTCATTTGACCCCCCTGGACAAAACAGACCCTTCCAGGGAGTGTTCTAGTGAGTGGAATCTCATATCAATGACCAATAGACTATAAAGCAAAATTATTATATTTTTGATCTTCAAACTGGAACTACACAGTATTTTTAATTGTGAACCATACTTATTAAGAGCCAGAACATTTTGTGGTGTTTATTTCTTCATGGGATTTATAAAAAGAAAAGAAAAAAAAGTTAATTGATAAAGTCCATCAAACTGGTACACACAAGTTTTCTGGGATGGCAGTTTGAATTATACATTACTGTATATTGATGTATCACAGAATTCTTTGGTTTAAAACATGGGCTACCTTGGTCATCTTATTTATCCAAAAGCTCCAGATCCTAAGCTCATTTGGTTATGTTATTCATTCACTTGAGTTGTATGTGTGTCACCCTGTTCATACACAGTGCTGTGTTTGTGATGATCTGTCTACACATTAATAGGAGCTAGCTATTCCCCTTTTTCTATCAGTTCTTATTAAAAAAAAATATTAATTTCCCTTTAATCAATTTCATTCAAATCATTCTATAAAATTTTTTTTAACTGCTTGGATCTACTGCCCTTTGTCAGATAATCTGTTTAAAGATTATTTTGGAAAGTTCTGTATTTCTTTTTTCATCAGAAGAAACCTATTTTAAATTCAGGCCATTTAAGTCTTGAATGATGACGCTTTTCATTATTTCACAAACTAGTTTCACTTATATATATATATATATATATATATATATATATATATATATATATATATATATATATATATATATATATATATATATATATATATATATATATATATATATATATATATATATATATATATATATATATTATATATATATTATATATATATATATATATATATATATATATATATATATATATATATATATATATATATATATATATATATATATATATATATATATATATATATATATATATATATATATATATATATATATGTGTGTGTACAGTGAACCCTCACTTTACGAGGTCAATTCAACCCACGGAGGCCCGCGTAAAGCGAGAAACGCGTAAAGTGAACAACATAACATATGGGATTAAATGAAATAGAGACCGGCTGACCCCCAAACTCCACTTTTTCCGACACAATACCAATATTCTAGTAAAAATAACATCTTAATTTTATGATGGTACATGCACACAATTAATACTTAAGAGAAATACAGTCGCCAAGTTAATGTCCATTCAAATAATGGACTCAACTCCCTCCCCCTCTTCTCACACTACACTCGCTGGCTCTTCCCTCTCTGAGAAATTTTTGAGGGAAAACCACTAGATTTTAAGGTATAGTAATAAATAATACCTCAAACTAAAGTTAGGTTAATATAATTGACATTGCTGGATTCCTTGTAAGACCAGGAATATTTTGAATATAAATGTCATATATTTTGCACAAAAGATAACATATTTACTCAGAGTAAACAAAATACTTACATTAGATCTAAAATTTGTATGTCTAATGATGTTTATATTCAAAATGATCATCAAATTGTAAGAATTCCAGCAATGTAAATAATATTCTGGCTGGGTAATTTGTATGAATTTTATGAGCTAAAACAAATATCTACAGTTAATAAAAAAAAAATATTCTTCAAGACACTATCTGTCAATCAAAGTACCCCACCTTGCCTCTCCCAACCGTGCCAGATGGTCGGTCGGTCGGTCCCTCCCTACCAGAGAAATGTGTGGGAGAAACCAGAATATTTGTCTTTTTAGTAATAAATAATACCTCAGACTAAAGTTAGGATAATATAATTGACATTGTTGGATTCCTTGTAAGACCAGGAATATTTTGAATATAAATGTCATATATTTTGTACAAAAGATAACATATTTACTCAGAGTAAACAAAATACTTTCATTAGATCTAAAATTTGTATATCTAATGCAAAATCTACGATGTTTATATTCAAAATGATCATCAAATTGTAAGAATTCCAGCAATGTAAATTATATTCTGGCCGGATAATTTGTATGAATTTTATGAGCTAAATAAAAAATTATACTTCACCCGCGTATATGAGTAGATGCACTGCGTAAAGTGGGAATTCCGGTTCTGGTAGGGTACCGTCTAAATGTAGAAAGCGGCGTAAGTGAAACCGTAAAAGCGAGGTTAAAAAAAAAAAATTATATATACAGTATTGTATATATATATATATATATATATATATATATATATATATATATATATATATATATATATATATATATATATATATATATATATATATATATATATATATATATATATATATATATATATATATATATATATATATATATATATATATATATATATATATGCAAATGTGTGTCCCTAGGTATGTGCTGATACAAGGAAGTTCCCCAAAGGCGCTTTAGGTGTGATTTCCAGGGTGTGCTCACCCTGAGATATATATATATATATAAAACTACACCACCTTCTCTATAACCCCTCTATATGTTCAGTGTTTATTCGACCTACTTAACTCAATTATCTAACCTCATCATCATCGTCATAGTTTTATGGCCATTTTCAATTTTTTTTTTTGCCTAACCAAACCAAATGCTTAACCTTTGTTGTTAAGAAACATTTGATTGCTTAGCTCACATAATTTAAGTACAGTACTGTATACTATGTTCCATTTTTATTTCCAAGTTTGTATGTAATCTCATAATTTTTTTTTTTTTTTTTTATCTCTTTCAGGGCAGCGAGAGTGTCGACTCCAGTCCGGGGTTTGATGCCTCTTCAGCACAGCGTGATCTTATCCAATCACTGGAGGCAAAGAACAGGGATATAATGAGAGAGATCAATGCTTTAAGGTAAAACATCAGTTCCATGATTACTCTTGGTTGTTTAACACCAAATTCACAAATTTTTCTTGAATAGGAATCATTCAGGAATTAAGTTGTATTGGGTTGAAATGTGAATAGCAAATTTTGGTAAATGGGATACTGTGTATGAAATGTTATGGAATGTAAGGCTAACCAGATATCAGAAGGTTGAAAAATCTGAAGGCCAGAGATTTATATTTGATGCACTTTGTTACATTAATAAAAAAAATGGAGAAATATGTGGATGGAGCACTCATAGATCAGAAACAGTGCATAGAATCAGTAGGAGAGAATGTATAGTGCTAGAGGCATGTTTTTTTTTTTTTACACTTACAGAAATCTGTACAGAATGTATAAATTGCTTTAAATTTGTAGAGATTATTTCGTTATATTTCATGCTCAGATTTGCTACTGTCAAATGTGTGTTGTATCACCACCACTGTTTAAAATAAATGGTATATGATTAAAGAGGTCGATGTTTGGGGAAAATATGTTTGCTTATGGTATGCACATAGAAGCCTGGATTCTTAGTGTTCACATCGCTGCCTTAATGGCTAATGAACATAAAACACCATAAGCCTTTGAATTCAGCTGTAAGTGATTGATCACATCCAACATTAGGAACATTGTGGATGTACTTGATCAGTTACTTATCTCTCAGTTTGTTTGGTTTAGACTCTAAAGATATTATCTTTAGAGTCATCATTGTACCGGTTAATGCTCACAGTTACATGTGTTTGCTACTTTTAAACAAAGGAGAACTTTTTGTTGTTCTTCTACACCCCTGAACTAACACCTTTCTGTTGTGTCCTCTTGTTCTTCCCTGCATATAGGCATAACCTAGAGAGTTTTATATCTAATAATTTTTATTTGTTGATGGAATAGTGTAATTACTAACCTTGTTACGAGTATTAACATTATAACAACAGGCATATGAGGCATTACATGTACATTATCGTTAGAATTGCTGAATAGTTTGACAAATTTCTGTCATATCAATGTGCAGATGATGATGTACTAGGTAAGCTAATTTCAACTTTCCTTCCCTTTCATCAAAGTTTTTTTTTTTTTACAGTGGAAACCAGGCATGTGACACAGACATATTTTCTATGAGTAATAGAGAATTAAAAGAGTAGAGGCAAGTGGAGAAGTTTAGGTGATAGGAACATGGTGCAAAAATATGAAATTGATGTGATGAAAACATAGGTTAGTGTAACCATAACAAGTCAGTGACTGGAATGGACTTCTACTATGAAATCCGTTATCTAGGTAGAAAAGTCATTGGGGATGAAGTGATACAGTGAATGTATTTAAGAGCATGACTCATCAGAGAACATATAAAAAAAAATAAAATAAATGGAAAAGAATTTCCATTACCCCGGTACTTCACCTTCATTTGAAATGCCCCATAATCACCAGAACAACGTGCATCCAAGAGACTCCTCAACAACTGATGTGCCTGCCAAAGATTTAACAACCATGGTTGTTCTGTGATAATTTTCTTCCTTGATATTTAAGTTCTAAGGAAAGTATCATTGCCCATAGAGACAGCACACCTTTACAAACAAAGTTGGGTTTCAGGAACAGAGTGTATGTTTGCAGGCGGCAGCAGGAACGAGTAGAGGGCAGCAGTAACCCGACGTTGGTGGCAGAGTTAAGGGCCCTACGCTCACACCGTCATGAGTTGGAGTCAAACCTTTCCTACCTCCAAGACTCACGCAAGCAGCTGATGCAGCAGCTAGAAAGTCTTATGAAAATGCTCAAAGTATGTTTTATGGTCTTTTAACAGTCTTTTTTATGTCACCATTACTGTATATAGTAAATCCTTAACTTTTTATAACCATGTAACAGAGTATTATGGAATAATGTACAAAGGAGGTGACATTTAAAGGAAAATCAGCTTAAGTTATTGTTCTTTACGGTAGAAATTGGCATATATATATATATATATATATATATATATATATATATATATATATATATATATATATATATATATATATATATATATATATATATATATATATATATATATATATATATACAGTGACCCCTCGTTTAACGAACACCTCGGTTAACGTAATTTCGATTAACGAACTGCCTTCCATAAGGATCTTCAATTCGGTTAACGAAAAAAAATTCGGTTAACGAAGTTCTTACGAACCGACCTCAACATGTTTTCGCTTGCACTGACCGGGCAACCAGCTTTAGTATCAGTCCGCCAATACATTAATCGGTTCTAGGGCTTAAATTCCTTACTATTTTAGTAAATATCAAGAAGTTTATACTATTCAATAATTTTAAAAGTTTAATATTAAATTTTGTAGTCATTTTAACAATTATTGAACATAATTGAAGGTAAAGTGACTAGTTTAATGTGCAGCATGCAGCCTCTTAACACAGCAAACAGGAGTTAGTCTCTCTGTTTTCACTGGAGGTAACATCTTGCTTGAGACTCTCTTCAACTAAACGCTTTTTTTCTGTGTTTCCAAGCAAATTATTGGTCATTTTAAAATATATTTTACATATTGACAATATATAATGCAGTGCAGTGTTGATTTAAAGAAAATAATCTTGAATTACACCAAGAGAGCTAAAATTTTATGGGTGAAATGGTGCCATGGGGTGACTTCTCTTCCACCCCAATGCCTTCTCTTCTCCTTTCTCCTCCACCCCCATTCTAAATCCCATCATCATCATCATCATCATCCAGGAGCCTTCTACATACTCACCTCAAAGTAAGTGAACTTTTCTACCATTTTTGTTGAATTTAGGAAATTTTCGGTGAGCTGGAACCAATTACCCAAAAACCCATTGAAACAATGGTTTTAGGTTAACGAACTTTTAGTTAGCAGTGACCTTCTGGAACAGGATTGAGTTAGATTAGCGGAGGGTAATGTAGATAATGTATGTATGTATGTATATATATATATATATATATATATATATATATATATATATATATATATATATATATATATATATATATATATATATATATATATATATATATATATATATATATATATATATATATATAAAATCAACGACCTCACCAGCAAGGAATCGAACCCTCGACCTACTGGGTGTGACTAGGGAACGCTTACCGGCTAGGCCACAAGGACACTAAAAGCAGTTCTAGACTCTGTTATATTTCACACAAAGCCTGTTCATCGAGCTGATGGCGCCGTGAACCTCAATGGGTCGTTGATTATATGTTCAAAGTCCGCTGTACATTCAATTTCATGTTCAAGAATCCTTCAGGGATAACCTCAAATTTGTTGCAACAAGTGGCAACTGTATATTTGTGACTAGAGTACAGTCATGCGCCGGTTAACGTCCAACCAAACAACGTCCGATCGCATATACCCTCTGTGCCCCCAAAAAACTTCTGTGACGCCTGCTGGACCACCACTCCACGACCCCCTGACAGAAGACACGATGATCCTTCCCATACTGGCCAGATATTATGTGTTAAAGGAATATCCTTCCTTAGGCTTTAGTAAGCATTTGCCTCCAGGTGTAATGTTAACCTACATCTATTGAGGATAAAATCTTTCACCTACAAATTGACAATAACACATTTGCTGTAATCAGACATATCTAGTTGCCTCAACAATTGCAACCCCAGTTGCAATTGGGGTTGCAATTTCAGTGTCATTACTCAGGAATAATGATGTTTCTGGTGCACTCTAAGATTGCGAGAAAACGGAGGACTCAGGCGTCCTGAAGCGAGAGAAAACGGACTCCTGTGATGGGGGACACAAGCACTCATACTGACAGACTTGACACTCACTTACTTGACACGTTTTACCAACCATTAGTTGTGTACGTTATCTAGTGAATTTAGTCAATATTGTACAGTACAAGTACACTGCAATACAGTGGTCCCTCGGTTAACAATGGACCTAAGTGCAAACCTGTACTGTACATGTACTAAATGATTACGGTATTAAAATTATGTCTTTTGCAAATATAGCTTGTTTATACAGGTATTCAAATTAATCACTTATCTTACAAGAATCCCAGCAATGTAAGTTATATTCACCAAGGTCGTTTAGGTGGCAAATTATGAGAAGAGCTTAGTCACTCTTAAAGAATGATTAATAAACACCCAGGCCTTCAGCGCCAACTGTCAAATCATATTGCCTCACCTCCCGCTCCGCCCCACGCTCCCTTGCGTGGGGGGTTTTAGGCCTTAAGTTTTTCATATAATATCTCAGACTATAGGAGAATATAATTTGCATTACTGAAATCCTTACAAGACAGCGATTAATTTGAATATAAATGTCATATATTTTGCTCAAGAGATAAAAATTGTAGTAAATTAGTGTACATTTTATAATACTGTATAAAGTTTTCCAACTGTATTTTTGGGTAGATTTACATAAATTTCTTCATTTATTTTCATCCATTTACATGCACACACCATACTACAAGAAACGTAAAAGAAATAAATGACCTTAGTGCAAAGCTGGAGTGCACATGTACTAATTTGATTACGGTCCTAAAATCGTTATGTCTAGTGCAAATTATAGCATGTTTATATTTAAAAATAATCACCATCTTACAAGACTCCCAGCAATGTAAATTATATTCACCCAGGTCATTTCACTGACTTTTTTTAAGAGAGAATCTTAGTCACTTAAGAATTGATAAATAAACACACGTTAGACCTTGGGCTGGTGCTAACTGTCCAACGTACCACCTCAACTCCCGCTCCCCTCCCCCCACGCTTGCTCCCTCTCCCCCATCTGCCCAGCATTGCTGGAATCCTTGTAAGACAGTGAATAATTTTAATATAAATGTCATGTATTTTGCACAAGAGATAAAAATTAATCACCTGTATCACATTACAGTAGTGATTTAAGAGTAAGAGTGTATATGTACGTATATAGTATTCCACACACACGTAAGTATAAAGACAACGTTTATGTGATGATCCGACAACGTCCATTTCGGTTAATGTCACATTTCCAAGAACGTATCTAGGACGTTAACTGGCACATGACTGTACAATACAGTTGTTATTAATGGCGACTGAAAAATTTTAAGTTACATCATATTTGAAATATCTTTTACTGTTACCGATTCGATTGAAAAGGGATGATGCTGTACTATTATAGATATTTTCATGGTAAGTCATCAGTACACTTTACGTCACCAGTAAGCAGCAGAAAAAAAGTGATTGTTCATATAAGTAATACAGTAATCACATTGAATTTCTTTCCATTTTGAATGAAAACTTATATCTGGATTATCATCACCCTCAGAATCATCAAACATCACCCACAACACCCAATGGATCACCCAAGTCACCACCATTTTCCACAAGTGGAACTCTTGGAAGCAGTGTGATGTCAAATCTTCCTAGTGGAACTCAAGGGTCCACAGCTTCATCACGCTCTGCTCCACCAACACCATCTCATACAGCTCAAGTATCAACTCTAGATTCTCTCTCTTCATTACATGTTGATGGTCTACAATCAGCAGTTTCCTCAGGCATGTTATCAATTTCATAGTTTATTATATTAAGATGTTTACTTACTTTTTTGTATTAACACTTGTCACTAACATTCTTGCTGTTCACAACACAGAAAATCCCCTTGTCACAGAGTAGTTAGTTTTGTATTTTATCCGAAAGGAGTATGGTATATCTTTTGACAGGAAGGCCTTAGATGTATATTCAGGAAGTGCTCTGTTGATCGTAGAAGAGCACAAAAAAAAAAAAAGTCTTGCTGGATGGCTAATAGTGCAAAAGATAAATTTGGGAAGTGTGATTTAAAGTTTTGGATGTAGGAGGAAGAGAGCTAAGTGTTGTTCTGTCAATACAACTCTTGGACACTCTTTAGGTTGACTATCAAACTAATTTATGATCAGCCAGTAGTGTTACAGTACTATAAGATTACAAACTGAAGCCTTCATAATGCTAAAAAAAAAATTTAAGGATTTTTTTTTTTCTGAGCTCATTTTGGTGTGATATCTTAGTCAGTTGTTCATCATGTGATACTTAAGAGTGACAAATTTTATGAATTTTCACCTGATATGTGTACAGTAATTATTCCTTATAATGGAATTCCTTTTAGCGAAAGTTCAATTTAGTGGAACGAATTTTACTAATACAGTATTTTGCTTCTCCATCTAGTGGAGTTTTTGGTAATGTCCAAGTGGGTTCGCATCATTGTTTTGGTGTGATCATTCAGTTTTCTGCTGCGCCTTGCCACAAATTGTTGTGGTTCCAGGTTTTTTTATTCTCCCAGTGTGTGCTAACATCCTGTACAGTAGCTAAAACAACTATCTGTGCAGGTGGGGTCGATATGCTCCAAAATTTTATGGTCTCATATTGTTTTCCACAAAGTATGCACAGATAATTGTTTTAGCTACTGTACATACACTACTGTATAATTATGTGCAATACTGTACAGTATATGCAAAATCATAAGAAGTGTACACTTGGATATTTGGGAATGTTAAAACTGGGTCCGTGGCCTCATTGGGCATTTTTGCCAGTTTCAACAGTTGATGGCTGGTACAGGTACTGATAAAACAATTTTTTACTTTTTCAGTTACACAACCATTGCCTTTAAAAAAGGGAAATCAAGAGGCAACAACTGCCATTGAAGGTTGTGAAAAGGAAAATCAGAGACCCCCCACCCATGTTTCCAATGTGTTTCTTTTTCTTATGAAGGTGAACTGAACTGAGGTTATTTTTGGAATACATATTAGTTACAGTACACAAGATGGCCAACAGTGAACAAAGGAAGGCAAGGTTCTGTGGACTACTGTGTAGGATTTTTTTTTCAGGTCTCAGCCTTCAGTGGTAGCTGTCACTTCTGATAGCCCCTTTAAAAGGGTGATGGTTGTTTAATATCTACCAGACATCAATGTTGAAGTTTTGCCTGAGTTGTAACCTGTATATATGATGAGTTCTAAACAGGAATTTCCTTTTTACCGACTCATTCATAATATTTCCAGGATCAATCCATCAATTATGTTTTTTTGTTTAATCTTATGAGTGGGGTTAATAAAAATTCTCTCCCTCTGAAGTAGGGAATTTAACACTTAATTTCATTTGCAGTTTTCTCAAGTGCTGGCTCAAATTGTACTCCCGACAACTCCCCTGATGATAGTCTAGCCTCTCGCAGTTTAAGAAATGATCTCTTAGTGGCAGCTGATTCTGTTACAAATGCCATGTCCAGCCTTGTCCGGGAGTTAAACTCAGGTTAGTATAAACAACTTTGTTTTTTTTTAATTTAATTAAACATGAAAAGGGGTAAATTACCATGATACAATGCAGCCCTTTAATTCCCCAGTTAAAGATTGGAAAATATTACACTGTGCTACAGTACTGTACATGTTATGGTGTTTTTATAGTGTCCTAGTCATTTATATCAGACTCATAGATAGTCTGTTGGATTCTTACTTCATTGTAGAGAAAGAATAAGAATTAAATGTACTGTATTTTTTTTTTTTTTTTTACACAGTTGACCAACTAAACTCTGCCAACTTTTAGCCACCTTATACATCCTTATAATATGTATAAGTTGCCGAGCTTAGTTTCCACCTGAAATTTTAACATTAATAAACAGTGAAAAGAGAATTATGGCCATAAATGTGCTGAAGTGGCATTGTAACTCACATATTAACCAGCAACTAATTAACTTATATGAAATGCAAAGCTGCCAAGGTAGGCAAAAGTGGACAGGGCTTAGACAGTTGATTATATAATATGATTTTATTAAGAGCAGATGGTGGCTATACAGTATAGAAGTGTGTTATGTACTAATGTTGGCTGATAATTAAGAGAAGTTACTAGTGGGTGTGAGTGTATTTTATTCCCCCAAAAAGTGAAGAATGACCAGGTTTAAAGTGGGAACAGCGAGCTATGAATTTTGTCATTGTAGCAGAGATTGACATTAGCAATCACCCAATTAACTCTGAAGAAGTTATTATGTAAGCGATCTTGATTGTTTTCTGGATACACTATTGTAAATCTAGAGTGGATGCTGCAAAATCTTACAAGTCAGCTGTCAACTGTGTGTCAGAGTTTAAAGTTTTTGTGACTCACACTGACAGTATCCAACTTTGGTATGAATTTATCAGTACAGTACTGTAGAATCAAGTTATTTTTCATTTTCCAGTGATTTTTTTATTTGTTGAGTAAACCTTGAGTTTCATACAAACTAAACATATACTGTAGTTTCTTTTTTATTGGCAGTAGGAAAAAGCCGTTTAAAGTTTTACATAAGTGCACTCAGTATTTTTTATTTAAAATTTATTTTTATTCATGGAAGTCAAGATTTATGATTTAATACCCATCCCTGCTTTGTATCATATCAACGAAATCATAAGTGTTTGAAATTGGTTATTCAAAAGAAATTATTGTAGTCTGTGCCCCACAGATCTTTTCCAATTGTACTGTGAACAACAAGATGAACAAATGAATTCTCCTACCACCTTCACCATCTATGTAAACAACCCTCCCCTTACCCATACAATATCTACTTCTCTGGAATAGGAATTACATTATTAAAATGAATCATGCTTCTAGGAAATGGTAATACTAATGTCATACAGTATATTCCATAGTAAGGACTAAACAGTTGAAGGCTCAGGTCATACACTATTGCATAGAAAGGAACAAAACACTTGGACAAATATTGTTCCACAATATAAACAATGAATAATGTAGTCAAAGTGCAACTCTGGTGTGTGTAAGTGTGCGCTGGATTCCTGTTGTGTATCACTGGTGTGAAGAATAGTGTGAGTGCATAAGTGGTACCGAACTTATGTCTAAAATTTACATTCACTCACTACCAGTGCGTGAATAAGGATAAATCCGGAGGCGGAGTACAGAGATGGGTGGATTTGAGCATCTTAGGAGTCATCAAAGGAATTCCACCAATGAGCATCTGGGATGTGGAGGAGGTCTGTTTATTAATCCTTCAAAATATTATAAATTATGACAGAGCCATCAGGCCTCATGTTGTAATGGAAGAAACAGCAGCAAGCACAGCTAGACCAAAGGAGGCCACAATATTAAGGCACCAGCAATCTTACAGCCAGTAGAACAACTTGGCCAGCAGGAACACCATTAGGGTCTACCATATATGTTAGTGTAGTGTGTCAATGATAGGTACAGCAGCCAAAACAGCAAGTTGACTGATAGAAATATTGCGAGGATATGATAGACTCCAATAACAGAGAACTAAGCAGTAGCCATCAAAAAATCCCTTAGACTCTTAGAGGGTACCATAGAAGACAGACGGCAGGCTGCCATTAGGACAGAAGACACATTATTAAGAGATAGGGAGGATATTGTGTATTATAGGTCATGACAGGATTGCATTTTGCTGCAGGAGATCATGGGGTAAACAATCCTTTTAACAAAGATTATGAGACTGGGAATAAAGCTTGACTCTGGCTGATCCTTGCAGTTTGTCCTTGTGATTTTATGTGGGTCTTCAACAAAATTATCATACAGGTAATATTGTCATGGATACAGATGCAATGTGGCAAAATGTCTGGTTATAGTCAAATAAGTTAATTTAACAATAATTGTATTTGTGTAGTAACTTTATGATGATACATTGTGTGTAAAGGGGAAGACCTATTACAATTTGAACTCCCTAAGCATTTGTTGAAAGATTCAAGCTTATACTTCAGTACATGAGTGATACTGTAACCCATGAGTAAAAATTTTAATTAGAAATGTTGGACTGTGTTTTCCTGATCCTGTATCAGTGTAGTTATGGGAGTAAATCTACTGTCTCAATTTTCAAAATATTGTAAATTATTTTTTTACAGTCATCCACATTACTTACATGAAAGTATAAATATTAAAACTGTATTGTGATAACCCCAGCACAGTATATTCAGTAACCTAAAAGTACCTTACAGCGCTAAATGGCCTATTGGCTTTGAGCCCAATTTCCATAATCAATCATCTAAAGTAATCACAACTTGATATGTACTCATTCTAGTGTAAACCTAAGAATATATATCATTATACAGTAATAGTTAGTAAGTCAAACTTCAAGTACTGTACTGTACATATCAAATTAAAAGAAGAATTATACAAAATCCTCAGTCTAGTGATATTAGGGAAGATTGTCATGTTATACAGTTAGTATTAGCTTACTTCACCAAACAGGACAACATAAATGAATGAAAATAGAGACTGGTTGAATTAATTACACTAAATGAGTTAATGTGTTTATAGAAATAAAAAGCATGAATTTATTGAAAATATATGTTAGCAGCACATTATGATTTTTGTTTATTTCATGGAAGCCCCTTCCTACTGTAACGAAGGTTGCCCAGAACCAAAATGTAAACACAAACACACTCTTCATTTGATGCCTTAACATCTACCATTTTTTTTGTCATTCAGGTACTGTACACCAGTGTTACCTTGACATACACCCCTTAATTCTTCTAGTTTATCATTCTAGAATTCTTATATTTTGTTATCATTACCAGTACCTGATTTATACCTTGTTTACAGAGTATAGTGCTTCTATGAGTCTGGGGGCTTTTCTTTATTTTTCTCATTGTTATTCCATTACCTTTGCCAATATTCAAAAAGTACCTGATATATTTCCCAGACAAGCATGCAAGACTGAAAACAGACAAACAAATGAAGCAAACACTGAGTACCCACCCCCTTTCTGCATGACCTGAACCACCCAGGCTTATCTGTTACAAATGTCAGTTTCAGCATCCCTCCCACCTCCACCACAGCCTTAACCATCACCAAAGCTGCTAATCCCCAAGAAGACTGAGAAGTAGAGAGCAGCATTTGGAGCTGAAGACAGGGGTAGCATTCCCAATGACTCCCTAGATATGCCCCTGCATTGCTTCTTTCAAAATGCTATCACAGTGGAACTCTCTCCCTGCATGTATCTTTTTATTATATAACCTGTACAGTACAGTACAGGCATAAAACATGTCATCTACTGGTCAAAGTTTGTGTCTTTCTCTTCTTCAAAACATTTCTGTGTAAATGTGGTTGACTTCATCAGTGTGCAGTTGCTGTCTTGCGCACATGTAGCTTATCTACTGTTTCTCTTAGTAAGATGAAAATAAAATAATAACCACAGCACAAAACAAAATTTCTTAATGATTCTACTTGCTGGTTTAGGCATTACGCTATGAAGTACAGGAATCTTTACTTGTGGTATTTGGCTCTTGAGAAACAAATGTGTGGAAAAGATGTGGAGTGCTTTAGCAAGCAAATATATTGCATGTGGGAAAGAAGAATATACCAGAAAATGTAGAAATGCACAAATACCATAGGAGAAAAAAGCATTGTGAGTTAATGGGAAAGTAGCAGTCAGAAATGGGACTATACAGTATTTGGAGGTTACAAGAGTGAGGTCAACCACTGAGTGATGATGTGGTGTGATGCTTTTAATAAAAGGTACAGAACTTTCAATGAAAAAAGGTACCTCCTCAAGACCTCCCTTAGTACAGTAACTCTAAAATGGTCGACTAAGACCAACTGCTCTAATACTGTACCACAATTGAGGCGCTCCACATCAGAAGGGGGGTGAAGCGTTAAATTAGAAAAAGCTGATAAAAACGCGTTTAAGGTTTTTCGAATTTCAAACAACCATAACTTTTTTCTTTTTTAAGCTAGAGGGCTCTTTTTTTTTATCGTGCAGCTCAATCCATCTCCTAGCGAACTGTGAAAATTGGAAGTTAGTACTGTGAATAGTTCTTATTTTATCGTGAGTTGAATGAGAATAACTACCTGTGACGTACAGTTGTTTGAGCTTCAAATCAACAATAGTCGCATTTTTCTGCAAAATTTTCTTATCATTGTGGGCTGATACTGTAAAACAAGTTAATGATCACCAAAAACAGCACTCGTCTTAACCCCCCGTCCCTATTATTAGCCAATGACTTATAATATTGTTAAGTATAATGTGTGTAATAATAAGGAAACACCACGACACTCTCCCCCCCAACATAATTAACATACAAATACAAAGGTGGAGAAAGTTTGCATAATCTTTAGTAAAAACAGTATTATGACAATAGTATTACAATCATACTTTGTTTAGTTTCTTCGTTTTATTATCCCTGAAGATCGTAGCAACTTGAAGTTACATAAACCCTGAGGAGTGCGTATAACTTTAATGGCCTCATCATAATCAATCAAGTACTGATCAAAGTCTTTCTCTGTCCTCTCTAAAAATCGCTACACAGATTCTTCCTCAACTAAATCATGGATTATTGATGCTGGCAACAGTTCAGTTTCATTATAAGACTGAGGTATGGGCTCAATTTCACTAGCATTCGTTGGGTCAGGCTCACTTTCATCACTATCAAGGTCAATGCATGTCTCGTCACTGTACACTTCTACCTCCTCACAGTCTGGATGTTCTTGTTGTGATACATTAGTGTTACTGTTTGTGTTACCATTAGACTCGCTTTCATCATTTTCATCTTCATTATTGCCGTCAGTGCATGTCACATAACTCTGTACTGGATCACTGTCTGCAAAAAGGTCTTGTGATGCATAGCAGTCACTTTTTGTATTACGAGTATACTCAGTTTCATCTATTTCACTTTCACCGTCATTATCATCGTCAATGCATGCCAAATTGTCTTTTAACTCGTCATAGTCGGCAAAAAGATCTTTGGATGCTTTGTAGCACGCTAAAAAGTTATTCTGTGCGTTCAAAGTGTTATTGTCATTATGATAAGCACTTTCATCATGTTGTGAGTCACTTTCATTGTCGACAGGTAAGTCATCATAGTCTCTGCAATCATGCATGTCACCTGCACCATTGCCAGTAGCACTTGTATCACCATAATCAACACTAAATTCACCACCAAAATCACTATCACCAAGCATTACTGGGGTGTCCACATGAGCACTGGCGTCAAACACATGCTCAGGAATAGTGGGCTCCTGAACCCACACCAGAAGGCCTGGCCTCATTCGAGTCTTGCTTTAATATCGGACAGATATTGCACAGCACTTCTCACACCCGTGGAACATGAATAATGTCGAAAAGTTATCAAAAACAGCAGTAGAACGTACACTTAACCTCCCGATGCGCCAAAACTAAGGAGGAGGCAGCATCTGGGCGCGCGGATTGGCCGAGGAGCTGTGACGTAGCAAGGGGAAATCCATTTTGATTGGCTGCCTCGGGAGGTATGGTTCAAGGGAGGCGCGCTGTCATTGGCTCACGCTCCTCTCACTCTGAACGGGATGTTGCCACTTTCTGGAACTGAGCGCACAGCCAGATACGTAGCTCCAGGCCCGAGGCGAAATCACCCCTTATTTTTGAAGGACTTTCCACCTTATTTCTATTCTAGCTAGAGGGTTACATCCAATGCCAACATGTAGAGGAAGGAAAAAATAGTGATATCCATCAAAAAACGCATTTTTGCCGGGGTGTCGCTTCACCCCTTCTGACGCAGATCACCTCAATTAATCCTACCACCTAGCCATTTCAGTACTGTATTTGCAAATAATTTTTAATTTTACCTTAAGTTCCCCAAGTAATTTCCTTAACCTTCAAGCTCTGATGTCATAGACCACAGTTATTAAACTCGTATGTAAAAAGTATTGTTTCTCATTATTATCTAAATAATCCATCTTTTGTAGTGTGATTTTTCCTTCTGAATGTGTATACTGTACTGTACTGTATCTCAATTTATGTTCTTATTTTCATATTTTACTTGACTGAATAAGATTCACCATCACCATTGCAAGTAGAGGTAGTTCATACCTCTGTCAAGATTGTATCAAACTCAAAGTACATCTCAAAATTTCACTTCTTTCTTTACTCTCCTATCTCTACATGTGCACCCACAGTGAAGGTTTCAACCTGCTTCACTGTCCTATTTTATAGAAAGCTTAAAACATTCATGGCACAAGCATTTGCATGTAAATTCAATTCAAACAAATACAAGTGAAGATGGCTGAGCTTGGGAATGAGAATTAGAAGTTAATTGTGGTTGAACTGACAAGAGATGTTAATTTTACAAAAGTTTAAATAGAAGTTTGAGAAATCTTGTAGGGTGACTGATGTGAGGGGTAATGTATTAAAGCAAATTTTGAATCCATTAGATTTTTTAAATTTGTAGAGAGTAATGAAATGGAAGTAGCCTAAGTGAAGTAACTTGTTTGGACAGATGTAATGAAGTTTCTTTAAAAGAGATGGTAGCAAATAGAGTGTAGGCAGGTGAAATAGATAGGTATCCTAAACAGGAATACTGAGATTAGTTACAGGGAAGATAGAGGAAATTTAAACAAGATATGATGTTATAAAGGAAATGGCAACAAAAATACAGATGAAAATATGGAGACAGTCTTAGTAGAGTACTTGGGTAATGTGAAAATGCAGTGCAGTTGAAACATGATGGAGCAATGGAGATGGACTGTGTGAGTGAGAGACATCAGTATCGAGGAACATCAGCTGATATTCAGTAACCACAGCGATTAGGAGGATCTGTCCAGGAAGACATGAACTGGGTATAGAGGAAGAAGATATAGAGAGTTATTATAAGTGTAGGAGAAATTATTTTATATTATAAAAGTTAAATGAATAGAAAATGTCATAAAATTAAAAGAAATTCAAGTTATAAACTTCTTGATAGTTATTTGACATACAATACCCTGTATAATGAAAAGAAGGTACCGGTAAACAAAAATAAAGTACAACAGTATACTGTAGTGGATTAAAGAAGTGTATGTTGGGTAAAGATGACAAAGTTGTTTTGTACAGTTTATGCTTAGTTTATATAACGACTTGAACTGAATATAGGGAAGCTAATGTGATAACCTTGATAATAATATGTGAAATTTGAAGAGGTACCTGTACTATAATTACTGGGCAGTAAGAGTTTAGATGAAGTTATTAGGAACTGATTCTGAAATGTAATTCAATGTCCGAGCCTAAATAAAGCATTTCATTCAACTACTGTACTGTACAGAACTACTTATTGTACCAAAATTTATGGATCAATAGTTCAAATCCAAGCCTTGGTACTGTAGTTGGAACTAAGGAAATAATTAGTGTAGGATCTTCTCATTGCAAGCTCATTCCTTAAAAACAAAAGTTTTAGAGGCAAAGAAATACCACTTCTGACATATTATGCTTGAGGAAAACAGATATTGAATGATAAACCCATCACCTTGCTGCCTGTACAATTGGATATGAGAATTTATGTTAAGTGAGGGTAAAGGGAACAAAAGGGAGAGGAGACTATCAGTGAAGAGGAAGTGGAGAGTGAGTGAGTGTATGGCGAAATTGAGTAGTGTAGAGAATTGTCAAGATATAATGATACAAAGATAATGTGTGGTCTCCATTGATTAGTGAGGAATGATTTATTTGCTGTATGAATCTTAGACAGAACCTTGCTGCAGTAGTTGGAAAGGCTTCAGTATGTATTAGATGTATAATAGCAAGAAATTAAATTACAGCTAATTAAGACGTCAAACAATATTTTGGATTTAGCACTTTTTGAATAGATGAGCTATTGGGTGATAGACATTACTGTAGTCTAAAGAGAATTATTGAGATTCAGAAGGTAAGGAAACAGTGAGAACACCATCTGGTAAAGTAATGAATTAAAGAGAAAAGTAAAAATGATACCTGTACTGCATTATACAGGTAATTTCAATAACTTCTGAAACTTGTATACTGTATAATGAAATGAATTGCTGTATTGTACAATAAACTTATAAAATGTAAAAGTCCTCAAAAATTTTTCACAATTTATTGTATTAAAAATACACTATGAAATTACAGAAAGTTCAGATGATGACTCGCTGCTAACCAGACCACTGCCTGACAGAGGTAAGTTTTTTGTAGCTAAGCATTTTATAGCTACAGGAAGATTTTTAGCTCGTACTGTTTTTTGTATGGGGTGCAGTGGCTGAGTGGATATAGCACTTGCCTCTTGACTAATGGTTGTCAGTTCATATCTCACAGTGGGCAACTAAGTGGGTTTCCTCTAATTCACCCAGCTGCTACAGAATGGGTACTTAACTTTACCGTTGGGTAGGTTAAGGGCAGTCTTCAGTGTGCTGTATCCACACTGCTTGTAATGCTTTCATATTTGTGTAATATTTTACATCATTTAATTTTTATCCACAAATTAATGTTCTAATTACTGTACTGCATAAGTATTTATCTTTTATGTTATTTCCATGTACAGTACTGTAACAGTTTGACCTTAATGAAGGTTCTTAGAATATCAGTTGTAGTTGAATGTTTTTTTTTTGTGTGTTGTCAGTACTAAACTTAAATCTTATTTTTTTTAATGACTTTTGCTGTGTTCTTGTTTTCTGATAAATCTGTTTCTAGTTACCTACAAATCACAGTTATAATACTACGGTAGATTACAGTACCAGAGTTTTTCAGTAGGTGTGCATGCCATAATAGAATGATGGTACAACTCTACACTATTTGGAAATCAAACCCACATTAAACCCTTATGTTTTAAGCATCGGTCATGTGATATATTGGAAGAGAAATAAATTGTACAAATGTGATAATGTAACAAACACAGGACTGTAGCATCACCTTTCATTAAGAAATATAGAAATCTCAATTTAAGGTACACACATGTGATTTTGACAACCTTAACAAGACAACAGGAGTCACAGTGTTCATTTTGAAATTCATCGGACCCTAAAGATACTTTTTGGAGGGTGTATACTGACCAAACATATAAACTAAACTACAAAAATTAGCTGTTTTTCTTGATACTGAAAGCATTACACCTGCTAAGCCTACATCACCACACTTGGGTTGGGTTACCAGCACAGTTTACCTCACTCATGGTGCTACCATATAATATACAGTACAGTATACTACTGTATGTGTATATTTGTGCTTTGTGGCTGCTCTCTTGTTACTCTCAACTGAAGTTGATGTTAGTGAGCATCAAAACTGTATTGCTTTAACCCCTTCACTATGTTCATGCCACATTTTTAAAGTAATTTATTTGGCAAATGCCAAATAATTTTATTCTGTCTTTAAATGTGAGTTTGATTCTCACAGTGGACATTGATGCTGTGGTGGACCTTTCCAAGTACAGTCTAGGAATACCCTAGTTATCACAAGGGATGTGTTCCTAAAAGTCATCATGAATAAAGAATTTCTGAATATCGGGGGAATTTTTTTCCCATAAGAATTAACATAAATGCGTTCCCAGTCGGAAACTTTCACCCAATATTTTTCAATACAGCTCCTCCCCGACTTACGACCTACTCGACTTACGACCACTCGCACTTACGACCTGCCTCATTCGTACCAAAATTTTGTCAAATTACGTCAGTAAACAGAGAAAATTTTTGTTTGTAATTCACTTTAAAATGGCTGGCAAGCTTAAAAGTGAAAGTTTTGTGGTGCTGAGAAGAAAAAGAGACACCCATTTTAGATTTTCTATGTATTATTTAAGCATTTTCGACTTACGACCTGGATTTGGGTCCCTAACCCCGTCGTAAGTTGGGGAGGAGCTGTATACAGTACAGTACACTCCTCATTATCCAAGGCTATTAGGGACAAGGGTTGTGTGTATACTGTGACACCAGTAAATGTCAGGAATAAATAAAAATTATATAGTACTAATAAATAAAATAAAATAAAATAAAAGATACAGGCATCCCCCACGTTACGGAAGCCTGGGTTACAGAATTTCGCTCTTACGGAATTTGTAAATTATGACCAATAATTTCGCATTACGGCCCGTAAATCCGCCCTTACGGAAATTGGGGTAAATTTTAACAAACACAAGGCCTCACACATGCCATTCAGACTGAGAGACTTGACATACCTAAGTTGCCTCAACAATTGCAACCCCAGTTGCAATATCAAATACTGTGTCACTACTAAAAAATAATATTCTCTGGTGCACTTTTAAGATTAAGAGAAAACGGACGACTCAGGAGTGCTGAAGTGAGAGAAAATGGACTCCTATGACGGGGCACTCAAATAAACATACACATAGCTGTATAATGCAATATTATGCAATATTAACCCTTAAATTGGTGTTTTAAGAAGGTATATCATAAAATATTTAATGTACTGTATTGTATGTGTTTATAAATGTTGATTTTCATTAATAAAAGTGCTTGAATTACTTTTTTGGGGCCGAAAAAATTCCTTAGGAACGCATCTCCAGTTTTATAATGGAAGTCAATGGGAAAATAGGTTTCGCGTTACAGAATTTCGCGTTACGGTCAATTTTCCGGGAACGGAACCCTTCCGTAACACGGGGGATGCCTATACTACATTGCCAGTTGGTGATAGCTTTACTACACGCGGGAGACTGGAGCGGCTGAGACTCTCCAACACTGCTCCCTCCTCCCACAATCCATAAACTACTGTACTGCGCACTTAAAAAATATTTATTCCCTTTAAGTTTGTGACCTTATGATCATCATTTCTTTAATTTTTATTTTTTCAACATTCTGTATGAACGATTGTGTAAGCGAGTAACACAGTTAAAAAAAAAAATAATATAAAATACTGTACATATACTGTAGTGTAAAGTATCTACTCAAAATTACAAGTTAGAAATGAAATTAACATAGCTTTGCCTGGTAGGAGGAGGGCTAGGGGAATGTAGCTACAGGCACAATCTAATTTAGCTACATATTTCCACACACACGTTAAATTCACACACATACACACCTAGTATGCTCTTCATATTTCTTATTTTTTAGCAACACTAGCCCGAGTGGGCTAATGCCCTTAAAAAAAAACACACTCCATACACAGTAATGCAATAGAATAACTACATTAACATAAAAACAATACAA